GTGGATTGAAACACGCTCGCCATGTCGCTCTTCACCGCGGGCATGACCGGTGTTCAGCGGGAGCATATACCTGCTGGTGTTGGATCCGCTTTGGTTCAAGTTTCTGGGGCCGGTGACGCCACTTGGTGGGTTGTGCTTGATTGGGGGGTGGGTGGCGCTGGCGGCGAGGGGCAGGCCGGTTATGGGGTGGGGGAAGTTCAAATAGAAAAGGTGTGAGATATCAGAGTGTGGATCTTGCATATTGAGCTGGGCTCTTGGTGGATGGATGTATTTGCATTACGAATTGGGTATCTTTGATTCACTTTTGGGCGCTTCGTCTACTCCAGCTGCGACAGATGGGAGAAGGCTACAAGTACTCCTTCTTCCGGCCTGTGCGCGTGTACTGGTTCAAATGCCATTCGACATCGCCCTCCTTGTTCTCCAGCGTGCCGGCCCGGATCTCGAATAACCTCATGCTCATCCGCGGTCCGACTTCTGCGAGCTCGACGGCCTGGTAGCCTGTTTTGACGAAGACGTGGTGTCGGACTTCGATCGTGTCTTCGATGTTTTTGAATCTAGCATGCACGTTAGCTACCGCACTTACTGATTGATTGAGGGTGTGAATTGGACTTACGTGACGACCCTATTTCCCACCTTGGCCGTGCCCTCCCTCGGCGGGAAAAGATGCTTGAGAACCTGAACAACGCGCTCGCCCAACTTCGTGGAGAACCCCTCGAATATCAAATGCGGATAACTCTCGCTCACCGTCCCCCTCGCACTGTTCGGAATGTCCGCCCTCAGCACCACATTATGCAAACTAAAGCTTGCCGTCGGTCCATGTGGGAAATGTGATACGGTCAGAGCAGTAGGTGTACCGCGGTGTTCATGAAGTAAAATAATGTCGCTGAGTCCAGACGATTGCGCACTCGATACCAGATTGTTCAATATCAAATTACCACGATTGAGTCTAATCGCCGTCGGCAGCAACAAGCGTATCTCCTTCGCAAACGTCCCCAACCTCGAACTCGGATCGCGACTCGTGGTGACCAAGATGCGCGGGTCCACGACGCCGGAAAGTTGCGCGTATTCGTCGTCGAGGCCGAGTTCTTCCTCTGCGGTGCGGTCGGCGCGCGATTCGTCGTATTTGTAGTCGGTGCGGAGCGTCGAGTCTTCGGCGAGGTCTTTGGCGAGGGGCTTGCCAGAGGCGAGCGAGGCTTTGAGGGCGGCGCGTTTGGAGGCGAGTTCGGCGTCGCGCAGGGTGAGGGCGCGGCGGTAGAGGTAGTCGCGGCGCTCGCGGGCTTGTTTGCGTATCATTGTGGTAGATGATGTGATGATGTGCTGTGAAGGTGTATGTGAAGCTGTGAGGTTGTATGCGCGAGATATCGTGTTGCGAATTGGGTCGTGGTTGAGAGCTCGAAATTTTGGAGGCGCTTATCGATAAGCCAACCACAGGGCTGAAGTGCACCAATCCCAGCGCTACGGACTTCCGACTTCACTTGTTCCCGGATATCCTCACAAGATTACAAGTTGCCAAATGTCCATCTGATGAGCACTCCTGGAGGTCTTCAAATTGCTTTATAAAACATGTCGCAAAGAACAATAGGTCAAGTATTTCACTTTTGCTTCATCATGTCTCTTCCATATCTTCTACCCGCCTTTTTGCTCCTGAAACCCCCCCAGCACCTCGCAACCTGTGAGCACCTATGATAAGACATTGATCCAGCACAGGTAGCTACCCGCATTCTCGGAAGAGAATGTCGGGTCAGCGGGCCCTCTGAACTCTCCAAGCGACTTGCTGCTATCATTGATGCTGCCAAAGCGTCAGTATACCTAGATCTGATCATGAGAGCTGGATACCCTTGCAGACTTTTGTCCCCACCGAACGCAGGTGGCAGAAGTAAGTGAGGATATCCAGGATACACTAACCTGAAGAAGTTGCAAGTACACGTATCCGTCACGTGGAAAAGCCACGGCTCGTACCGCTCGCCGTTGACTGTGAATTCAGCGTGCTGGCCAGCATTCTTGGTCGTCTCGTTGAGGTCATGAGTGTCTCCGGCAGCCGTCGTAACTTGGCCGCAGGGAATCATCTCGTCGTCGTCCTCGGGAGCGCGTGCAGCCACCTCTTTGCCATTGACAACGAAGCACTTGTAGAAGGCGATCCACTCCTCGAACTTGCCGGTCACGGGGCCATAATACTCGCCGATGGGTGATCCGACACCGCGGGTTGCCTCACTGCGTTATCACGTTGTCAGCATCTAGGCTCGCAGTATCGAAAACATACAAGAAGCACTTACCGGTAGAAGATGCAGTGGAAGCCAGACTCGACATTGTAGTCGACTGGGTACGGGTACCTGCCATTGTCGATCTGATTGTCAAAGGCCTTGATCTCGTTCAGGTCTGTCATGCTGTAATGTACGCCCTTGTTGGTGATAACCTCACCAGCGATCCGGAGCGAGCTGGGAGCAGACACCAACGGGGCCGCTATGACAGAGCCAACCGCTGCGAGGGCGCCGAGGATTGTAGGAAAGCGCATGTTGTCCAAATGTTTGGGTAGTTTGTGTTGGTTGAGGCTGGAGTACTACGGCGTACTGTAGTTGACGGGTGTGGAGAAGCAGGAGGGAGCAGCACCGCAGTATATATAAGAGCCTTCGAACGATTCTCCAGGAACGTGCTTCACTGCAGCCTCAACAATTCTTTCTTTTCTCTCACTTCGTTTGCCTTTACCAGAGGATCCGGGCTTGGATTCGCACTATCTCGGCGCCCGGTTTGTCAAGGAGAGATTGCTACACCACATCACTCAATCGACCAACTAACCTTCCCTCGACCAATAAACCAAAACCTCAACCAGGACCTCAAACCCCCAACAAACACAATCAACCCAACAGCTACCAACATGCGCTTCCCCACCATCTCCGTCCTCCCCTTCTTTCTGACCCTCACCTTCGCAAAGGCTGCGGTGAAGCAGACCTCTACGACCGCAGCGGCCCACGCGGCCTGCTCTTTGATGATAACCTCTGCCACCAGGTCACCGGCGACTTCGAGGCCGCCACCATCTTCAAGGGCTGCGACTGCACCATGTACAAGTAAATTGAGAGCGTTAGAGAGGTAGATAGGGTTGGATGAGATGCCAACGTTGAGGTAGTGGATATGGATGCGCCCATGGCGATTTCGAGGCTAGGGCTGATGCGAGGGACGCGGAGTTGCAGATCACGTTTACTAGGGACATGAAGTTGAGCTGGTATAAGTGTCTGCGCCGAAACTAGACGAGGGGCGGGACTTCTACTCCCATGCTGCTCATCATGGTCATGATGGCCATCATACTCTCCAATGCGGTGTGAACTCAAAAGGTCTTGAGGGCGGATGTTCTTAAACAATGCTTGGGGTATCATTACTTCCACATGAATTCCAAAACGTTGGGTACATTGCTACCTTCCATCTCGATCTTCACTGTACCAGTGCTGTTCCATTCCAATCTCCATCAATCCAGTCTTCTTCAAGGCCGGTAACAACTAACGTGCGTCGCTCTTAGCTTCCACTTGCCCCCATCAACCCATCCCGTACATCTCTCAATCTTAGCCACATCCTCGTCGTATCCGTTGTTACATGCGCCGGCGTCTTGCGCACTGCTTCATATTAGCTCTCATTCACACTCCTCTCTACATTCCCTCACATTCCACCAGTGATGAGAGAGAATACTTACTTCCACAGCCCACACCAACAATCATACACCTTGATCCCCGCTATGCTACCCGAGTTCAGTACATCCGTGCAGCCGCCGTCGTTGATGTGTATGTCCTGCGATACGGTGCCGTTCGCGAAGAGGAATTGAGCGCAGATGGAGTCGTTCGGGGCACCGCATGTAGCCAACGCAATAGGCGTAGAGAGTACGACGGGAAGGAGGGACAGAAGGGCGAGAAGCTGCATTGCAGGAAGTGTAGGAATCTAGCGGTTGAATGTAGGAAGAAGTGCTGCGAGTTGAATGCAGTTGAGATATTGTTCAAGTCGAGGTATTCACCAAGTCGGGATTAGATGAATAGGGTTTTGAGGATTGAAGATTGGAGGAGTAGGTATTAAATGCAACAAGGGCAAGGCAATTGTGGTCACAAGATCCTAAGAGGGGTCCAAGAAAGAAGGTACTATGCGTATATGATTGGTGCAGGCGTAGTGACTGTGATGGTCGGGTGCGGCCAATCACAATGCCGGGAGATGCTAGTGCCGGACCCGGGAACTCCCACTGCGTAGGATGATCGACATGGTAGTTTTGATGTGGGAACTTGGTCGCTTAGGTTAAGTAACTTAAAGTTCGTACTAGAGTAATTCCTTCGCTTGCTGTGTGGTTTGAAATTGAGGTTCATCGTGGCTGTTCCTACGTCAGTGTACGGGAAATGTGGTTTGACGCCTCAACGATGCGTACTTGAATGTGGACTGATGCCTCGATGGTTTGTGTTTATATGTGTCCTTTTCGTTATGGTTACTTCATCGAGTAGTTAGAATTGCAAAACTGGTTGTCAGTATTGACCGGTTTTTGACCCGGGTAACTGGAAGCGCGCCTCGCCGCATGCAAGTACTTGAGAGAGTTCATATATGCATGCAAGCAGTGCAGAAGCGTGTGAAATTTTAATTTCAATCTCAAAGTAGTCGAGCCGTGTGTCGAAGCCGAAATCGGAGCAGGAAATGGCTTTTCCACTCCGATCGATCCATGTCACTTCACTGATGCTGTCCGCGCTTGCCGCGCTTCTGGGACTGCTTCAGCGCACCACCTAGTAGTCCTCCTTGCACCACCAGCCAACGAAAAACTTGTCAGTGTGCATGGGGCGACTCCACTCCGGTTTGTTAGGCTCGCCCTCCCAGCCCACCAAGGTCTCGGTGTACTGAGCGCCATCGCAGGCATAGCTACAAGACAGTGTCAGATCACTCTCATCGACAGGACCTCGCAAATGTCACTGACCTGTAGAAGGTACAAGCACAGCCAGGATCGACCTTGGCGGCGATCATGCGGTCCGGTGCATTCGGATGGTTCGGATCGAATTGCTCGTACTTGAAGATGTTGCACATGAACTGGTCGCGCGGGATGCACTTGTAGACTTGGGAGACGAAGTCTTGGCGAGTGCCGTCTCTGAGCATGTACTGGCCACAGGCGTAGCGAGAGGCTTTGGGACAGTCGGCGGCTTCGGCAGCAATAGCGGTATGGTTTGAGGTCGGTGCTGCGAAGACGGCAGTGGTGGCAGCAATAGCCGCGATGAGCTTGAAAAACAGCATTTTTGCTGTCTTTTGCAATGATGTTTGTGGAGAGTAACAGAATTCGAGGCAGGAGCAAAGAGTAAGTCCCGATGCTAGCTCGAGCACGTGCGCGCTCAGTCAGGCAAGAGCAGGTGAATGGGCAGTTGCAAATGTCGAGGTTTTTTCGATTTTTCCTATGGCAGGAATATGTATGCCAAAAGCACGGCATAATCGGGCGGCAAGCTATGAGATGGTAGAAGCAAGCCGTTTCGACATATCATGGACCTGGGCATAACGGGATGCGACAGTGATGAACTTCGGGTCCGATCCAAGAACAGTCCGATGTCATCAAAGGGCCACTCCTGCTACCGCATAACCAACCCAGGAACACCACAATCCATTATGCACGGCTCAGTGAAACCTGGGAGCTGAAATGGCGTGGCAAACAAACAATCTGTTGAATCCGATCTAGCTCTCAGAGTACTTTCACTTTGGGCGCAAAATCACGCTCATGTCGCGCCACCTCGATAAACCCTTCCGCTGGCCTACACTCAACCTTCTACCTCTTCTGATTTGAATCATGCGCTTCGTCCTGGTGGTCCTACTCGGCCTTCTTCTATCAGTTCGTAGTGACGTCTCTGCACACCATGTCGACGCCGCGATACCAGATTCCTCCCAAATCTCGAATCTGATCTTTCCCGCTCACGTCGCGAGGCCCGGGGGCGAAAACTCTACAGTAATTAGCCACAAAAGGCGCTGGAATGGTCCACCACCCGCACCTGCCGCTGATGATGTCTGGGAGAAGATGAAGTGCAAGGGACGCAAGTTCATGGCGCAAATGTCCTATTCTGACTTTGATGCTGGTCAAATGCTCCCAGTGCCGCAGAATACAGCTCAAAGCCCATGGTACCTTGGTGAGTTCCAACGCTGTACAACAATGTCTGCTTTGCTGACACATTCAGCGCATCTCTATTCGTGGGCGTACGTTATCTCCAGCGTTGGAGAAGTATACCGCAGTCTCGGCCCCGGCGGATACTGGGGCGTTTCCGATTTTTTCAGACACATTAGCATCTCGGACAAGTGTGTGGAGGAAGGTGGCAAATGGATAGCGGCCGTGATCACGCACTATCAGCAAGGCACCCTCGTGGATGGTCAGAGGTACACTTCGCCAAACGGAGAAGTCAAGAGGGTCAGGATAAACTTCAGTGCCGGTAAAGTGCCGCTAACTTTAGATCAAGGCTTCTGGGGCGTATTTCTACATGGCCGTAAACCCTCAAGGAGGCATAATCGTACAGAACACGCTCGGTCCTCGAGAAGCTGCAAACAAGGTCTACCCAGGCAACTACCCTGACACCGAGTTACCAGCTTTACAGAAGCTGTCGGATATGATGTGGATGATGTGGGAGTACTACGTCCCTGCTGCCCAGCGTACCAATCTCGACTTCGTCATGTCTCTGAGCATCAGCAATCCCACGAGCCTAAGCATCATACGACGCGCGTTTGATTCGCAGGGTCAGGTACTTACTGCGACCCCCTATAAGTTCGACCCCAATTCTGATGGAGGGCTTGCACTGCTTGGTACATTGAATCTACGTAAATCTCCATTTTCAAGCCACTCACCGTAATCAGGCTCACCAAACGGCGCACGTGTAGCGCACTTCCTCATACAACGCAAACCCCAAGTCGGACTGAAGACCGTCATCGGCATTTATGGTTTTGAAAGCCAGGCAAAATCCCGCGCGCCTTGCCTCATGTTCAAGCTGGGTAATCTGGCTGCTGCTACGCCACGTCCTCCGGTCCAGAGATCGGAATTAGGTCCATCATCAGGTGCAGAGCAGAACATGCCAGTTGAAGAAACGTCGGTAAAGCGGGTCTTGGAGCAGAGGAACTTTGTCAGGACGCACATATTTCGGTTTGATGGGAACGTAACTTTGCCGAGCGAGTACATGTGAAAGAAAGATGAATGGAGACTTATAAAGCAATCCAGGACATAGAAATTAAATGATGATGTTCTTAGAGGCTGGAGACAGTATGAATGATTTTTTTTTGGCATTTCCAGTCTAATTTTCTTGCACGTCGATATGCATGCTGTCAACAGCATCGCAGTTGAAAGAGCGCAAACAGCTTGGGCCTCAAACGGAGGCTTCTACTCAAAGCGTGCCAGTACTAGCCCGCCCGCCCGCCCGCCAGTCCTTATTGTGTCCACTGGAGTAGCCGTCCTCTACTATCGTGCGCTTCAACTTGCCACCTTGACACTCCAAGTATGCATGTCTCGATCCTTTTGACACTCGTTGCATGGATCACGGTTGTGGTCAGCGACACCAGTCATGTACGACAGGAGGTTGCAGTACATGCGCTCCTCACCACGAAGAACTCAACGGACTCAACTCTTGGAAAGTCGTCAACTTCTCATGGCCTCCCCAAGCCAAACGCCGCCTGGTTCAAACAGCCCCCACCAGTCGCTGACGAGGCGACGTGGAGTAGAGCTGTATGTAAAGGAACCAAGATGATGGCGCAAATGTCGTACTCAGACTACGACGTTGGACAGCTACTCGCGGAACCGAAAGACTCCGTCCAAAGCCCATGGTCACTAGGTAATTTAGCCGAGTGAAAACCCTTGGTCACGAATTTCGCAGGCTGATACCTTGATATAGCCGACTTAGACGACTGGGGCTACAAGTTGTATCCGGCACGCCCAGTATATTGCGACTACAGTACTGGTGGATTCTGGGGAATATCAAATTTTCTCCAGAACCAAGGGATAACCGACAAGTGTAGTCCAAACGGCAAGGAGGGAGAGTGGGAGGGCTCAGGGAATACTTCACTACGACCCCGATCCTGAGGATTTTGCCTCGCCCTTTTCGCAAGAGTACCAAGATCCCTGGGGGATCGATCGTCGTGTAGGTTTGAATGCCTGTTACGACCCGAGGATAGTACTAACACATAACGCTAGGTGGACAGAGGCTCACTTCTTCATGTCCGTCCTGGCCGGAGCCGGTAAGCCTTCTGCGTCAATCTAATCAATGTCGCTAACATTTGTCACAGGCATCATAGCCCAGGATCGTCAGAGTCCATGGGAGTCACTCAAGAAGCTTCATCCAACAGACGCCGATCCTGACGAGTTACCCATGTTGCAGCGATCCTCGGACATGATGTGGATCATGTGGGAGAACACAGTCGAATTCAGCAGACGTCACGAGCTCAAGTTGTTTCTCTCGCTGTCGATCAAAAACCCCGAGACACAGGCTCTCATCCAACATGCCCTCAGTGACGTGGGTAAAGAGCTTACCGTGGAACCTGTGGAGTTCAAGACAACGACGCCGCAAGGCAGGGCGCTTCTCAGTGCGTAAGCCCGTTTGCGATTCTGATGATCAAGGACTGAATAGCTCAGGCAGCGCCAACGGCTCAGGCTTTGCCCATTTCCTCATCCAGCGCAAGCTACAGGTCGGTCTCAAGAGCATTGATCGCGTCTTGGTCTTTCAGGGTGAAAGCAAGTCGAAGGCTCCGTGCTTGATGTTCGGCGTGGTGAACCTCAGCGCTCCTACACCTCGACCTAGGGACGATACAACAAAGGATCCAGCAGCTGGACCAGGCAGCGACCCGAATGATACAGAAATGACCGAAGAGCCGGACGACCCGGATCTTTTGCCAGAGGGTGGAAACGTTGGGGCTTGGTCACTTCAGAAGCGCAGCTTTGTTCGGGTGCACACATTCAGGTTGAATGAGCGTGGCAATGTTACGCTTTCGAGTTCTTGATTCTAGATTCAAGTCATGTTAGATTCATGGGCAGATAGATGGGGCGAGTAATTTGCACCATGAATGACGGGGCAGGTGAGAACGAGCGCGGAAAAGTTTTTGCCCTGGGCAACTCTCACTCGAGTTATTCTTTCACCGTTTGTTTCAGCCGCCCCATGCCGCCGCGTCAGTACGCTAGAAAACAAATCTGAACTCTTTTAACTATCCGTTGTCAAGTCATTTTACCTACAGCACGGTCATACGCGCCTCAACTATGGTTTCTCCTATCGTAATTATCCTCGTCGCGTGTATCACCCTCGTGGTCGGCGATGCGGGCCATGCGCGCCATGAGAAGCTACTCGAGAAAATCGCGAATTTCCCAGACTCGAGCTTCCGAGAGCAATTGCAGACGCTACATTCCTCAGTCCATCATTTCTCTGGGCCACAGATTGGCGGAACTGCAACAGAACTTCCCGAACCAGCAACCGACGCGATGTGGAACACTGCCGTGTGCAAAGGCCGCAAGATGATTGCGCAGATGTCTTACTCCGATTACGACGTCGCACAGCTGCTTCCAAATCCCAAGGATACGGTCCAGAGTCCGTGGGGATACGGTGTGTTCTCATGCTGCATAGTCCAGGCCCGGCAAATTGGCTAACACCGGCGTTGCAGCTGATTTGAAGAAGTGGGGCTACAACATGTTCTACTCGCCCCCAGATTACCGCGATTACTCTGCCGGTAAATACTGGGGCATTTCTACTGTCCTCAAAGGCATGAAGTACACGGACGTGTGTGGTAGAAAGCCTGGCGAGTGGAAAGCTCTCTCCATTCAACATATGGATGGAAGTACAAAGCCACTGAAAGAACAAATTTACACAGACCCTAGTGGTAAAGTGAGAAGGGTAAACGCTTATTCAAGCATTCTACGACGCTTTGCTGAGCTTGGTACTAGGCGACCGCCGCATACTTCTACATGTCAGTATTGGAAGGAGCTGGTGAGTTGCCCAATATTACAACAGGATTCTTGACGCCACGAGCTGACATTCTGCACAGGAATCATGGCTCAGAATCGACATGGCCCGTGGGATGCTCTGCAAGCGCTTCATCCCTTGGACTACGCAGCCGAAGAGGTGCCTGAACTGCAAAGATCTTCCGACATGATGTGGGCAATGTGGGAGTACGCCGTACCATCTGATCAGCGACAAAATTTGGAAATGTTCTCGACACTAGCGATCGGAAACCAGAAGACTTTGGCCTTGATTAGCCGCGCTTTGAAGAGTCTGGGGAAAGAGTTGTCACGGGCACCTACCGTGATTGAGATGAACACCGAAGAAGGAAAGGCGCTTCTAAGTAAGTACCGACACGAGCGGCACGCATGTGTCTGAAGAGCTTTGGCATTAACTTCTTCTAGGTTCACCGAATGGAGCAGGCTTTGCGCACTTTCTCATCGAAAGGAAAGCACAAGTCGGCCATAAAAGAATTGACGTGGTTCTACTTTTTGAGTGCGAAAGCGCAAGGTCATCACCGTGTATGGTCTTTGGTGTCGAAGATGTTGAGGTTCCGACGCCGCGACCCAAGGATGACGCTACGCCGAAGGACCCGAAGGGCGATGATCCCAATAACAGGGACGTCACAAAAGATCCTGAGCAGGCACCGCCAGGTCTACTACCTCCAGGAGAAACCCGTGAAGAAGAGATCACCCGACGGCTCGAGAAGCAAAATTTCGTTCGGAGCCATACCTTCAAGTTGGATGCATACGGCAACGTGACGTTATCGAGTTCGCTTCATCAGGAACGAACAACTTGACCAGGTGGCCATGTCATATGCGACAATATGACGTTGTCGAAATCGTTTTGCTAAAAGGGGTTGGGAGAAAGATGACCAGGGCGAGTTCGTTCAAAGAGGAATAGAAACGGACTAATTGCGAAAGATTGCACGAGAACAAAAAGTCATTACATGGTACATTCCATCTTTCCTGCGTAACCTAGTGACCTCGTCAGCACAAACAACCACTCCACGCAGTAAACACCCACTGACTCAGATAATCTGCCGTTACACCTCCCCCTCTATGTTTTCCCTCTCAAGCACTCCCCTTGCAAGTATACCACTTCGGCTTCGGATCCGCAAACGCCATCTCACTCTCCTCACTCGTCGGCCCCTTGAAAATCGGCCCATCTACGTCTTTCCAACAATCATACCCAGTCCTACAGATACTGAATTAGCACCGACATCTCTGCCCGGTGTGTGACTTACGCAGCAAACCTGCACTCACACCCACCGTATAGCCGGTACGCGAATGCATCCTGATACCCGATGATAGTCTCGTTGAAGAAGAAGTCTTCGCAGCGGTTGTGTGCGTAGAGGCCGACGTAGGCGCTACTGTTATGGCGCGTCAGAGCGTAGCCGCAATTGTATGGCTCGGGAGTGGGAGTATGAGTGGAGGTCGTGGTATGTGGGAGCGAAAAGGCTGCTGGGAGCAGGGTAAGGAGCAAGGGGAGGAACATGGCTATTGTAGATGGATTGGGATATTTGGTAGGGATGAGGTGAGGGAAGTTTGAACGTGGTCTTTATATGAAGTTGGAGCATCACGATCGCTTCCTGGGTGTTTATTGAATATCCTGCAGTGCTATATACGTCCGCTTGCCTTTCCGAGTGTCGTCACCAACTTCGCCCCAGCGGACTGTAGACGAGCTGTCAAAATGCAAGATCCCGTCTTCAGCGTGGTATTTGTATATCGTGCATTGCCTATCCGGGACGAGTTCCGTCGCACATTGCTACTATTGGGGGGAAATATTCAGTCATCGTGATGGTCTCCACGCTTCGAATGCGCTGCGTCCGCAGATCACATCGTCGAGGCGTATCCGTTGGGACCAGCGGTGTCTACGTGTTCGTCTGAGCACCAGAAGATTGACCGCCTGATACTTGTGAGGCAGGTGCGACAACATGATTTATTGGCGACAAAGGTACCGCTGGCGTGTCTGATGTTTGCTGCTCTTCTAATCCTGAGTCCGTGTTGCCTGAGTGGCGATAGCGGTGAGCTAGATCGAATGTGTTACTGTAACAGTGTGACGGATACCAAGATGACGGCAGCAGAATCGTGTCCAGGTGGTACAGAGACGGATACGGTCGCAGACAACTACCGATGCTTCACGAGGACGCTCAGGTAATACCTTCATGTTCGATCCAACGTGAGTCTTTCCAGTTTGCCGAGCCGCCACCCGGGGCTTGCGGTGAGTTTAAAAGGGTTCGAGCACCCCTGTGCTATCCTTCTGTACTTGCCACCGTCCACAAGCCTTGGTGATATTTGTTGTGCATTGATAGTGCAGGACATGCTTGTTCATAACATTCTAAAGCAGCGTATGGTCGACCAAGGATATGAATCGAAGACTGTGTTGCACACTCTTAAGTTGCCTCAATCTCCTGCACGCGCGCCATGACCTTTGCCTTCCATATCTTGAAATCCTCTCTCCGGCGGTCGCCCAAATAATCAGTTGCGTCTTGCATCATGGTTCCGAGGCCGATGTAGTCGCTTCCACCTGCTTTCGTCATTGCACGCTTATCTGATGCTTCGGTCATCTCAACGCCGTCCATCGCATCCTCGTCGTCGTCCAGTGGCATAACGTTCACGAACCACTCCATGTTCAGCCACCCCTCAGCCTTGGCCATCGGCATGAGTTCTTCTGCCTCGAGAGACAAATCGTCATATGTAACCTCCTCGGCTCCGGGGTACTCCAAGCAAGGTCTCAAGTGCAGTCTGTCGCCACACTTGGTACTCCTCAGGGCACGACCTCGACGTTCTTCATCCTTGTGAAGATGTAGAGAAATACTACTGCTATGAGACCTTTGATGCGAGCTTCTGGTAGATCTGCCGAAGGTGCTGAAGTTGCACCTGTACGGCTCGATCGCTTGCTTGGTGTTTCGGCCGCGGGTATGGACATGCGTGCTAATAGAGGCATGGTTGACTCAAGGCCAGTGAATACATGCGGTGCAGCATTGGGAAACTCGAAGGCCTTGACGAGTTTCCGGATGGCTGGCATAACCCATGCTGGGATATCGGCCGCAGCAGCCTTCTTTGTGCTTCGTGGTGTTCTTCTCCCAGTGAGCGGTGTCTTGGGTGTGTTTCGAGCTGATGCAGAAGCTGCAGTCGCTCTCTTGCTTGGTGTCTGAGGCTCTCGGGTGGCTTCGGATGCAGGCAGCGCGCTACTCAGGTAGTTGTACAGTTTCTTGTAGATGCGCGGAGGACATGGTGGTCGTGAGACAATGGTCGGCAGATTGAATCGCTTCTTCGTTCTGTAAACATTAGCTTTGTATATCATTAATCTTGGTATAACATACCGTTCACATGCAAGCTGAGCACATGCATATGGCCTTCCTATCTCCTCGTCGGATTTGAGAGACTGCGCCACACTACGCGAACGAGCAAGGAGAGAAAGGGCCAAGTCGATCAATTCTGGTGGTAGAGGCCCATTCAAGGCTGGCACAAGTCCAGTCAGAGCCTGTTCTACGCTTGCTCTACTCATTGTCGTGTGAGGTGGTGGGTGGAGAGTTTGACCAAGTTCGGATGTTGAAGCGCGTCGCGCGATTGCCCGCTCACGTCTGCACGTGCACGCTAAGCTTCTTTAATTTCACTCCACTCCAACTTTCGCCAGCCAGGGCAAGCATTTCGCTCCACATTCATGACATTGGTTCCCATGATCTAGACTGTCTGAAGGTAGCCCTGCGATGCAGACTATACACAGCAGATGCAGCAAGACTGCCGCTTCTAGGCCTCAAGTACATATGGATTGTTCTTTCACTCTACAATCTTCTTGTCGAGCCTCAATCGCCTCTCGCATGTCGCCCGTACAGCGGGAAGATGTAATCCAGTCAGAAATTGGGTCCCATTGATGTGTGGACAAATATCAATGCTCATCGGCTAGGGGAGCAGGACCTCCAAATTCATTCCATCCACCTCAAACGCATTACACTCAGCTCTTTCCCCGCCCAGTCATTAACAAAGTCTCCAGTCTGATTTCATATCACAATTTACTTTCTAGACAACAGCAATAGTCGTTTCGATCTTCATCTCATAACCACACTCTTGACGTCATGATACACAAGCCTACCTTACTTCAAAGTCTACGTCCATACCCCATACTTCTAGCAGCAGCAACTCCAACCATCCTATACCCAGCAATACGCGACTCTTCAACATGCCCCCCATCACCCTACACCACCCCACCCTCGGTCCCTTAAAATGCCTTTACTCCCCCTCCACTTCGCTCCTGAGCATCCACGGCCTCCCCTACGCCACAATACCCCAGCGCTTCGCCCGGTCCCAACTATGCACAAACCCATCCTCCCACCCCATAGCTCAGAAACGTACTCGGGAGAATGTCTTCGATGCAACATACCCCGGTCCATCAAGCATCCAGCCCTTCGGCAGCGTGACATCAGACGCTTCAAACATCCCCCTTCCAACCGATGACATGCCAGCCGATGAAGAACAAGATGAAGATTGTTTGACGCTGTCGATACACATGCCCTTCACACCCTCCCACACATCCTTCAACGCCGCCGCAAACCTCCCAGTCCTCGTCTTCATCCACGGCGGCGCATATTTCCTCGGCTCAGGCAACCGCCCGTACTACTCGCCCACATCATTCCTTTCACACGCTACCTCCACCTCCCAGCCTCTCCTCTTCGTAAGTATAAACTACCGCCTGGGCGCACTGGGTTTCCTCCACACCCGCACATCCACCAACATCGTGCCGGAGAATAACGGGCTGCACGACCAAATCCTCGCTCTGCGCTGGGTGCAGGAGTTCATCGGTGGGTTTGGCGGGGATAAGGAGAACGTTATGGTAATGGGACAGAGCGCGGGTGCGGAGTCGACAGCACTTCTTTCACACTCTAGTTTTGTTAAAGAAGAGGGCTTGTTCAATAAAGCGATTGTCATGTCTGGCTCGCAGGTGACGATGCCCGCCATGACGCCGGACGAACATGCGCGGAATTTCCTGCTGCAGGCGGACAAACTCGGTATTATGACTGAGAATCGCGATGTGGATGATATCGCCCAGGACGTCATTGCTGTCGATGTTGAGAAGATTAGGGAGCTGGCGTGGGTGGGGAGTCCGTGTACAATGTCTGCGCTGCTGCCGTTTGAGCGGCCGACGATGCGGGGGAAGTGGAATGGGGGGAGTGGAGTGGAGAAGCAGGTCATCAGCACGACGACGTATGATGGCGGGATATCGTTTAATATGATGTCTCGGGACGAGTCGCGCAGCAATCACGCAGCGTCGTTCACCGCCATCGCTACGGATGTCCTGGGCCGCGAACGAGCTGCGAGGTTGTGTGATATCTACGAGGTGTACGATAACACACCGGATCCAGAGGCGTTGCAGAAGATCTGCTTGTTTGAATCAGACACGGGCTTCTTCTTCGCTGCGCTACATCTATGTACTTCGTCGCCCACAACTTACTTCCAGATCTTCGACCTACCCAATCCATTCCCCGGACCCTTGTCGTCTCAGGGCCACTTCGCGACGCACACATTCGACATCACGACGCTGCTGGGCGGATATGACGAGAGTTCGTTGCCGGAGGGGTATGGTGAAGTGATATCGAACTGGCGAGACAAGATCTTGGCGTTTGTGAGAGACGGGGCGGGGATATGTGAGGAATTTGGAGAGGAGGGGAAGGGGCTGATTGTAGGGAGCGAAGGTGTAAGGGAGGTAGATAGGGAGGGGTATATGGCTGGGAGGAGGCAGAGGTTGAGTGACCTGGCGGATGAAATTGATGAGAAGGATGGATGGGATGGTTGGGATGTTCTTTGGGTTGATGTGTGTAGGAGGTTTTTGATGAAGGGGGAATAGCGGGGAGAACGACCGAGTATCAATACGACTGATTTGATCATGTGTTTGATAGAAAAGGAGTTTGTGTCCAAGCTGCATAATCTTAGCTAAGCTTCCTTCCGCAAAGATGTGCCTCATGGCGAGGTGCATCTGACGTAAGAACTGCGGCATGGCATCATGTACCAAAATGACGAGCTGGACACGGGGAGGATGTCTAAGCGCTTGTGAGAAGGGTCAGCAAGGCGATCATGGTGGCTGTGCCGTGGTGCCGGTTGATGTAATTGATGATGGTATGTTATTGAGGGTATCCATATCAGAGCCATGTTGAGGGGGCGTTTGTCTACGTGCCGCGTTGAGGGCTATACTTCTTTAAGTCTCATTGAGGACTGTTTCTTTCGAAGATTGAGGTACACTAAAGCTCTCTTTATGTTGATGTTAAGGGGTATCGATATATTGGACTGCATTGATACAACAGCAGAGGTGAAAGTAGTCTGGCGCGCGTTGAACCGGGCCAAGAATCTTGAACACCTCGTAGACTTAAGACTGATAATCGCCTGCATTGAGAGGATGCCATTATGCCTTAGCTGTTGTTGGTTGCTTGTGGTACTTGCTGGGAACAAAAGGCATCTTGGCTACAACAGCCTTGCGCTTCTTGCCGCGCACCACAACTTCAACCTCTGTGCCAGCCTTATGCAGTCCATCTTTGATGTAGCCCATCGAAATGTTCTTCTTGAGCGTTGGCGATGGGCAACCGGAAGTAATGTTGCCAATCTTCTCGCCCGCCTCGTTTACGATCTCAGCGCCCTCGCGAGCAGGTGAGCCTTCGACAATCAGGCCGATGCGGCGGCGGGATACACCACCACCTTCGGACTTCTTTTTCAACTGCTGCAAAATGACAGAGTCGCCGTGGAATCCACCATTGGCGCGACGGTCCTTGCCAATGATCCACGACAGAGCACCCTCGACAGGTGTGGTCGTGTCGTCCAGGTCGTGTCCGTACAGACACATGCCGGCCTCCAAGCGCAGGGTATCACGCGCTCCGAGACCGGCGAACCTCAACTCATCCTTGGCGGAGTCGAGGAGGAACTGAGTGATAGCTTCGGTGGCCGCTGAGGGGATGCTGATTTCAAAGCCATCCTCGCCAGTGTAGCCTGCGCGGCTAACAAGCACTTCGACATCGGTTCCCTTCACGGTGGCAAATGTGCACTGGCCAAAGTAGAGTGATTTGAGGTCGGCTTTCGACTTGTCGTCGAGCACGCGCGAGAGAATCTCAGCTGACAATGGACCCTGAAGTGCGATGAGACCCTGCCCGTCAAGAATGTTCCACTCAACAGGCTTATCGGGGTTCGCGCTCTTCCATGCTTGGAGCTGCTCCTTGAAGTAAGCAGTGTCCTTTTCCCTGCAGCCGGCGTTGGTGACCACATAGAACTTGTCGGAGAGGCGAGCAATGACAGTATCATCCACGATGCCACCCGTGTTGGGATGAAGCAGGGTAGAAAGAGTGGACTGCTGGACTGGAAGCGTTGAAAGCGAGGACGGAGTCACTCTTTCGAGAAACGCTTCCGCACCAGGACCAGAAAAGTGATGTTGGACCCTGAAGCTCGTCAGCGCTTGAAGTCCACATCAACCTCAATCACATACATGTGTCCGACGTCAAAAAGACTAGCCTTCTCTCTGGTCCAGTTATGCGAGTCGACGATGCTCAAGTCGCTGTACTGCACGGGCATGGAGTAGCCGCCAAATCCCACAAACTTGGCTCCATACTTGCTGTGGAGCTCATACAGCCCAGTCCTTCCAAGTTCTTCCTTCCCTGCTCCAGACGAAGCATATCGCGCCTGTTGGTGTTGTTGCGCGAGCTTGCGGGGTCGAGAAGCTTGACTTGATAGTGCGCGAGTCGTGTATTGGGCCCTTTGCACGTGTTCAACCCTCAACAACCGTGGACCAGCGCAGGTCACTGCCGGCCGCAGCGCTGCCACAGCTCTTTTTGAAGCCATTGTGTGTGAGTGAAGAAAGATAAGCCCGGCATTCCTCGCGGATACCCACGGCGGGTCAGCTTTATATGGTATGACGGCGGTAGCTTGTGCACGGACACTTTCCTAGGCGCGGCCAGCTTCCCGTCGGAGCTTGACAGCCCACCACAGGACTCCATCTACCAAAGCAGTAATCCTACGCATTCCCACCACATATCCGCCGCCGCCGCTCTCTGAATAGCTGCAACCATGTCCAAGGGCACCAAGTACCTGCTGGTGTCGCTGCCGACGTCCATAACGCCCTCGAACCACAAAGACGAAGCTCTCGAGGCCCTGCGAGGCACCGTGACCTCAGATGGCGGCAACACGTACTCGTTCCCGATACCCGAGTTCAAGATCGGGACCCTCGATGCGCTGGTGCAGCAGGCCGACGACCTCTCCAAGCTCAATTCGGCATGTGAAGGCGTGGTAGCCAAGGTTGGCGACAGCTTGCGGGCGATATTGGATGATGACGACAAGGCACAACAACAGAAGACAATCAACGACAGTACGCCAAGCACTATTGGGGTGGTTTGAGGAATCTTAGAAGCTTACGTCACGTGCAGAGCCGGTTGACCAGTACCTACGGTCGTTCCAATGGAACAAGGTCAAGTACCGGGCAGACAAGCCCATTGCAGAGCTGATAGACTCATTACAGAAGGTCAGCAGTATCCTTCATATCTCATGATCCCTTACTAAGCTGTACAGGAACTGCAAGGCATCGACAACGACGTCAAGGCTAAAATCTCCCAATACAACCAGACAAAAGGCGCCCTCGCCGCCGCCGAGCGGAAACGGACCGGCAACCTCGCGACAAAGTCTCTCGTAAACGTCGTAAACCCCTCTTCCCTGATCCAAGACTCGGAATACCTTGATACCCACCTCATCGCTGTCCCCAACCTCGCGGTCAAGGACTTCTATAAGTCCTACGAGGAGCTGGCGCCCATGGTTGTGCCGCGCTCAGCCATCAAGCTCGCCGCAGATGACGAGTTCAACCTTTTCGCAGTCACAACATTCAAGAAGCATTCAAACGACTTCGTACACAAGTGCAGGGAGAAGAGGTGGACGCCCAGGGAGTACAAGTACAAGGAGGGCGGCAAGGAAGAGGAGGCCAAGGAGGCGGAGCAGCTTGCAAAAGACGAGAAGAAGCTGTGGGGCGAGGCGCTGCGGTTGGGCCGGACGGGATACAGCGAGAGCGCGATGCTTTGGATCCACGTCTTAGCGCTGAGGGTGTTTGTTGAGACTGTGCTGCGGTATGGACTGCCGCTGGACTTTGTGTGCGGCATAGTTCAGGTGAGACTAATATACTAGCCTCAAGCTGGGTGAAGCGGAGACTGACAAACCATAGACCAACGCCAAAGCAGCAAAGAAGGCCAAAACGAACCTCGACTCGGCATACTCATACCTCGGCGGCAACGCATTCGGCCGCGACAACAAGGGCCGCATCAAGAAGGACGATTCGTCCATGGCCACGGATATGCAACAAGCAGGCCACACGGGAGACCAGGAGTACACGGCATACGTGTACTACGAGTTCGAGGTTGTATAGTTGCACATTCCGCAGGCGAGGTACAGAAGAGTTTAGGACGTGATATTGCATATAAACATTTCCCATCCCGGATACTTCCAGCGAGTTCAATGGAATTTTTTGGCATTGCTATCTTGGCATAAGCCATTTACGACAAGCGCGCGGACATGTTGTATGATGATTGCAGCGATGTGTGATATCCCATGGAACATGCGCGGTCCATCCTTGATGTTCCAATGTCTAAAAATCTCCCTGCATCCCAACGTACAGGACGTGAGATATTTGACAGCATGTGCAATTCTTGTTTACTAGGATGCAAGGAGTGATGATCCAAAGGATGCACGTAGCAAGAACCTTTCGACGAGTAACGCGAGGCGCAACGGGCGAATTACATATTGTTGCGCGAGCCCGTTTCTCGAGTATGGAGCAGCCACCTTGAAGGACATGTTCCTCGTATAGGTGCGTGCTGTGCAAGGTCAATAGATCAGTGGTAAAAATAGTTGCGCGGTAGACACCCAGGCAGTTACCAAGAAAGAGCCCACTCCTAAATCACCCAAGATTGCAGGACAACAATACTGCAAATATTGCAAATTAAGAATGGTCAAAATTCTGAAAAGATCGAGCTTGACTAGAAGACTACTTTACACATACAAATATATTTTATGTGATGTTGTTAAGAGGGGGTAATGCAGTGTTGAAAGGGAGGGCTCTGTAGTTGTTCCTTCAGTTCGGTGAGGGTACCCAGGTGTCGCAGTATCGATACATGAGAACAGTGAAGTACTGATCTACGTGACCTAGCTGACTCAGATCGGGAGTGAACCAACGTTTCTTCGCGATCCGTTTGTATATTTAAACCGGCTCTTCTGATACTCTAGAAGGGCAGTGATCAATACAATCTTTTCTCTCGAGTTTGCTCAGCTCCAAACCCAGACTTGTGAGTAGGTTGGCGTCGGAGAAGGCGGTGCATCCTCTATCTCACTGATACGTTGAATCTCTTCCATGTACCGCAAATGTAATTCCTTCAAACTGATCGAGTAGTCCGGTTTGAACTCGAGCCGGCCACCATTCTCGTTCTCCACGATGCCGAAGAGAGCGAAGTAGTTGTCTCTAGGGTCTGCAGACTGACGATATCTGAATTGGAATGCAAGATCTAGTTGGTTTCGATGGATGACAGCACCCTCTCTTCTCGCCGCCTGGCGCATTTGCGTCTCTACAATGTCCAGCAAAGAAGACCAGTCGAGCTTGCTTTTGCGCCCGGAAGCTACTGAGAAGTATGGTGATATAGCGGTGCTTTTGATTCGAAATGCGATGCGTCTCAGGCTTTGGAGGTTTCCATACCAAGAGAGGCGGTGCTCTCCACATACCAGAATTGTATGCCGTGCCAATGTGGCCTCTTGGACTGTCCATATCCGTTTGAACCACGGTCGGTCCAGGATATCCTGGAGCACATCTTCGACATCGATCAACTCTGTATGCATCCATGGAGGCTCGGCTGTTTCAGTCCGGGCCTGAATCAAATACTGTAAAGCTCGCATGGCATCGCCCGTCTTGTCAGTGGCGTTCCCGAGGTAGACCACGACCGATCTTGCACCTTGGTAAATGTCGCACATTAAACGCACTTGATGGCTCTTGTCGTTAAGGTCTTCCTGGTTGATGCTGAACGCGTCAATCCAGATCGGTCGCTCGCATCTTGAGCGCCGTAGTGAGTGAAGAGCTTGAAACCCACCCAAAGGTACTAACACGGTAAGCCCATCAACCCAAATTTGACACCGATCTGCGTGACTTCCCCATACATAAGACAAAGCGTCGTAATCTGGTGAGACATCCAGACTTGCAGTGACGAGTGATGTTTCGATGGGGTCTTCAGGTTCACCTGGATGGATCCTTAGGAGCCGTATTTGGTCCGGTAGTTCCAAGGGGGAATACACGTATGGCATATAGGTGGTGCTCTGCGAAATTGTGAGATGTTGTTCAATGGTTGGGTATACGAGATCTGTACCGTGTCTGTCGAAGGTGGTGACCCTGCATTGTCTACCGTGTACCTGATCGAGAAATTCATGGTAATCCTCCATCCTTGCGGCAATCGGAGCAGCCATCTGTCCAATAGAAACGGAGCTGATGCGAAATTCAAGGTGCGTTGCCACAGCTGCGAGAAGTAGACCATTTTAGATCGGACGCTGTATCAATCGCGATGAAGAGCCGCATGCGCGGTATACGAGGAAATGAGCTTTATCGCAGAAGCTCGAAGTTGGGCCGGTCAACATGGCAATTGCGACAAGCTTCGTTCAGCCAGACGCTGCTGCCTGCTCATAACACAGCCTTGTGGTGCGACTTGACTCTTTGTAACTGGACGGTATTCGGGCTGTGCATATGCTATTTCTCTCGCGACCTAATAAAATCACAACATGCAACTATAGATTGATATCCAGATCTCACTGCGCGCAAGGATAAAGCATTACTAAGTGACCGCTGCTTGAGTCTCAGAGGCATTAAGTGAGTGTTCGGCCACATTTCTGAGATTGAGACAGGTTCAATTCATCTCTCCCCTCTCACCTACTCCTACTCCTCCTCAACTCTCTTGATCTCCCTCCCATCCCACATCCACCCCACCCCCATCCTCTCCGTCACCCCTCCAACCTCCTCCTGACACTTCCTCATCAACCCCTCCATCGCCTGCACCGTCGACCCGCCCGCATCCCCCTCGACCAGCAATTTCCACTGCCTCAGCGATCCCGGGTAGATTTACACGATGTCTTGCGCTGTATACTCGATGTCGCCGATGCCCGCGTCAAAGCGCGAAGTTATCACCGCAAAGGTACTGTTGGCGTACAGTGGGCCATGGACGGCACGGACTTCGTCTGGAGGGTGTTAGGTTTGTTGAGGAGGGGGAAGGGGGGAGGATACCGAGAATAAGGGATTGGAAGCCCAGGATTACGTTGATGTCGTCGATTCGGGGCGTTATTGTAGATTGTGTTGATCGAGCTTGTAGAGTTGAGGAATACCGAATCCCAGTGGAGAAGGAGTTGACGGTTTGAATACTCATCGGAAAGAGAGTTTATGCATTTTCAGGGTTGATATGATTTGCCTGAGAATCGGCTGACGCTAGGCGATGTCTGATGTTCCTGTGTTGCTTTCACTTTCGTAGGTCCCAATGAAAAGAATGCCGACAACGCTTACTTCTCCAGCCACTATTCGACCCTCCAGATTTCATCACAGCAGCAAAAAAGGATACTCACTACCCTTACACAGTTTCTTATGCGAGTCGAACTCATGCGGGGTTATCACGACTATTGCGCCAAGTGGTTTAGAACTGGGGTTGTCGCCAGCACGTACTCAGGGTGTACTGGATTCGTTGAAGGAATGGCCTCATAGTGAGATTACAAGTAGGAATCTCCGGCGACGTGAAAGAAGATAATCGTCTACTTCACCTCCACCCACCTACCCTCCCCTCGTCCCACCTCTCCTTCCTCTCTGCCCGCAGATACGCCACTTTCCTGCCCTCTCTCAACCTCCTCACAAACTCCGCTACCTCGCGCTCACTCGCAACGGCATCTCCTCCACCCGTTTCCTCGCCCTCGAGAAAGCTCTCCTCCAGCCCGCGACACAGCGCCTCTTGCTCGCCGACCGCGGCGCTCAGGCGCTGATACAGCGCAGGTGGACTAAATTCTTTCAACGCCTCATCTTGCTCCGTTTGCTTGTCGCGCCACTGGCGCTCGAGGGCGCGCAGAGCGAGTAAGCGTGATTGGGTACTATCGCGTTGATGTTGGACGTGCGATTCCAGCTGTTTCAGGGATTCAGCTAGGGAGACATTTTGGGCTAGTAAGGCTTGGAGAGGGGCTGTTGATGCTGCTAATGAAGGATGTGCTGTTTCGGGGCTATGTATGATTGCGTTTTGCAGGCCTGGTGTTTGGAGCACGTGATGGAGGTCTTTAGTTCTGTGGACGTCTTTAGTGGAGTTGTGTGAGTAGGGTGGCTGACGTACGTTTTGTCTCGTAACACTACGGGAAGCCATCCGTCTTCTGGTGGCTGGACGGCTAGCCGATCTGGTTCAGAGGCATTGTACGCGGAGTTTTGCTGTTGTTGCTGCTGGTCACTGTAAGACTGTGGTGGTGGGGGCAATGGTGGGCCTGTTGCTGGTGTTGAAGTTCCGCTTGGCTTCGGCGGAGGCGGCGGAGGCGTTGATGCGTCGTATTGATAGAAGCCTTGTGAATGTCGCGGAGATTGATACGCCATGATAGAGATGACGCAGCTGTGTGGTCGAGTTGTGAATGGAAGTCGCGAGTGCATTAGCATAGTCGTGGATCGTCATGCCGAGCTAGTCTGATGCAGCATCCGCAACGCGCACGAGTCATGAAGGTCGACCACAAGCAACGATAGAACATAGCAAAGCACGGATACTGATTCTGAACAGGAAAGTGGTGTGGACCAAGAAGGTTTAGGAGTCTTTCATCGCTCAGTATCGAAATGCGTCAAGCTTGATCTATGTCATCAGGCGCGATGATTACTGGCTCACTTGTACATGAAACTTGACAGCAGTTCAATAGCGTATATTTGTATTATAGTTGTCCAAGCTCTCCGACAAGCGACATAAATGATCCTGCCCGCAAGCTCAAGCACTACTGTTGCTATCAAAGAGCTTGACAGTCCTGCCCATTCTCCAGGCTCCCCACAAGATCATCGCAAGGATAGTGAGATTGGCAAATTGCCCGAAGATGATCAGAAGAAAAGTGGTTGCAAGAGATGCGTTGTCTGACCACCCAGAGGTGTCGACATAAAGCAGAATGATGTCGTAGATGATAAAGATGTCTCTGAGCCATATGAGCGGAACAACGACGAACGCGAACCGCGCAAGATGCTGGCTTTCGGACGACTTGATGTTGGTTAGTTGGTGTCTTCTCAACGTTTTAGAAAACAGACATACCCCATGTGCATTCTTATTTGTCGTGCTGTACTCTCTCAGTACCTCGAAGGTCACACTCATCGATGCGACTACCACGATACATTCATGTACAATGTAGAGAATTCGTGTAGTAGGGTCATGATTTAAAACGTTAGACCAAGAAAGCCTGCTCAGCGACGACAGACTGCCCAGGCTGGTATCGCGCTCTGACATGCCTACGCCCCAGGCAGCCATGCCCGTTGCAAGCATGGCTAGCAGGATGAACGTGTTCCAAATCTTCGAAAGCATGTTCGGCGCTACCCTTCCCGTGCCATTGGACTGAATGTGGGTTGCGTGGATCCACACACCGCCATTGAGGAGGACAGTGAAGAGAATTGTCGCGAATGTCGTCGCAAAAGTTAGGGCCGAGACCCCAGTCCCCCATTTATTCTCGGGAATGCTGAAGGATGGTCGGCCATTCCACGATAGGTCGGCTTCGTAGGCAATGAAGCCGTGGGTTTGAAGTAGATCAGAGACGAAGCGCGTCGTATATGCGGCGAAGAGGCAGAAAAGAGCAGGCCAGAGGAAGAGATAAGTGCCGAGACTGGTTTTCAAAGGTGTCCCATGCGATTTGCTCGTGGAAGTAAATCTACGGGCTATGATGCGCTGGAATGTAGGTTTCGAAGCAGTTCCAAGGAGAATCAGGGCACCGGCTGCAGTAATGATGTCGAGGGCGAACACTGCCTGGTACGAGGCCCGCTCGTCAGATATGTTGGTAGACATCACAGATAAAGAGATGAGTTCTCTTGGGAGGAAGGGCTGCCAACGCCTGGTACAACAGATGCAAAAGAAGACATGGCTCTTATATCGCCATCAAAATATGTTTGTTTGTGACGTATGGCAAACGTGCACTGAGCGATCGGATAGAACGGACTGCCCCAGAACGCTGGTACAGGTTAGTTGCAGAGATTGTATTGAGTGGCAATAGTCTAGTCTTCCGAGATCCGAGACCCGAGTCGGCGGCGAGCCTCACACTGATACAATTTGTTTGCCATTGCATGGCGAGGCCACTACATGAGTTACGCCGACTTGACAAGATGCGGCATGAAGTGCTTGAGATGAAGGACAGGGAAGGTGCCAGAGTGCCAAGTCCCGACCACGTGACCGAAATAAGCGAGGGGACAGGGCCCCGGGGGGACTCCAGGGGAGTTTCTCGCACCTGGGTGATCCATGATCGATACGGGCGGTCAGACTCATAGTTCCACAAGGTCCAGAACAAGCGCTTGAGCCCCAGAGTCTAAAGAGACGGTACTTTTGCAAATCCACTCCTTTTACATCCCCAAGCGGGACGCAGTGATGATGATAGTCCGCGACTCTTGGCGATCCCGAACTGTTCGTCTCAAGCCTGCTCTGTCTGTGCTCAACTACCCCTGCCGAGCGGAAAAGGAGAATTGCGAGTCGCTTGCGCCATGCGAGCAGCCGCCGAAAAAAGGCACGCGATGCAAGCCACCCGGTAGTCATGCGACGTGACGATGCTAGAGTTCGATTGGGTTCTGCGATGATTGTAGGTAATAGCCAGCGCGAAGCTCGATGTGCCCACCCGCGGCTGAAGCGTCTCAGAGCATTGCATGATGTCCAGCGGCCGGGAGTGGACGGTCAGCATAACTGTCAAACTGCCAATGGAGGGGCAACGTGGTGAAGTGCGACAATCTCTCCGCCGCGCATTTCCTCGAATCATCCGCACCAAAGCACAAGATTGACCGACGTCGACCACATTCAGCAGCGCTGGACGGCTTCTCCTATTCGGCGCGACAGGCGATTGGCTGGGAATATTCGTACCTGCGCCTGGCCTTGCTCGGCAAACTCCACCCGGGCGCGAACTGCCCATCAGGGACCGCTGCGATCCCGCTTTTGGGGCCCTAGAGAGCTCTATTCTCCTAATCACACGCCTATCTCGGTAGAACCCTCCCCTTTTGCGAGCCCGTGTCATTGGCGATATACCACTCTCTCAGGGACACTCTCTTGTGCAGCGCCATGCCTATCACGGAGAAAGCATAACGACCTACGAGAGAGACTATGTTCCATCGATCCCAGCCATCTGCGGAAGGCGCGCCTCGTGCCAAACCATCTGCTCTGCCTTCGCTAGCCATCCAGTCTTTTGCTTCCTTCCAGTCCCAAACCTCGAGTCCGGTACCCATCGCTGTCCAGCCCTCACCGATACGCCGGAAGCCCCTTCCTGCCGAGAGTCCTGTCATAGGCCGCTTCGCTGCTGCTCAATATAGCACTCGACCCTCTGTCCGCCAGGATAAAGACGACTTCAAGTTGCCGCTGCAGGGCGCACGCGTTGCAAGTGTACCGTCGCCGCCGCTGACTGACGACCTCTTTGTCCCCAGGAACCTGGACGAGTAAGCATCGCGTCCCGTCTGCATTCCACTTCGCTAATGCTGTCGTAGTCACCCTCGTGGACACACGCCCCTACTTGCCCAGAACCCATTCCCCCTGCGCAGAGACTCGCTCTCCAATTCAGCGTCGCGAAGGAATTCCCAGGTGCGGCATGAGCGCTCAGCCAGCACGTTCCAATCGCGAAGACAAAGCCGGACAGACCAACTCCGTGCAGCAGGCGCAAAAACACACGCGCGATCACCAACTCTGCCTATAATGCCCTCGTACACAACAGACAATCGACCGCCAGACCTCAAACTCCGACTAGACGCCGTGCAGGACAACGACGACTCCCACCGTCCTGAAAGCAGGGGACAGGCCAGCAAGCCCAAGTCTCCCGCAGGAGGCTTCACTTCCTTCTTTGGCTGGAACTCCTCCAAGCCGCAAAACGACGCCGAGTCTCCAGCAACTGCGTTCTCCGAATCATCATTGTCGCCTGCAGGCTCACCGCGCCGCCAACCCAATATGGCTTCGAAGAACAAGCCGAACGGCCTGGACATTCCAGCAGCCAACTCACTCACCTCCTACTTCAATGTCCCCGGTACACCGCTGCTGTCATCATCGCCCCAGATGAACGCCCACGTAGAAGAGTTGGAGCGCGAGTTGCGGGCACTCAGCTCCGAGCTTGCGGCCTCAATACAACGAGAGATGGAACTCGAAGATGAGGTAGACCGCTGGAAGGCAGAAAGCGGGCCAGCCGGCTATGACAATCGGAGGACTAGTGACTACTACTCAGACTCGGGTACCAGTTCCGTCCGATTCCCCATCGGAGACCCCGAGAGCAAACTTGAAGAGCTGGATACACAGCGCCGGAAAGCTGAGCAGGAGCGCGCGTCGCTCAAGGTGCGCATGGCAGAGCGCCTGCAAGAAGAGCTTCGCCGACGCAGAGACTTGGAAGAGCAGGTGCAGCAACTTGAAGACCAGGTCAGCGACAAGTCCAGAGCCGGTTCAGTTGTGCAAGCACCTCGCGAGAAAGAGCTCGCAACATCACTAGAAGACGCAAAAAGACGACTGGCTGAAGAAAGACAGGTCAAGGAGAATTTCGAAGATCTGCTCACGGCCATGCGCGAGGAACTCGAAAAGCACCGTAACGAGGCCGACAACCTACGAGAGGAGATTGTCCCCCAACTCAAAGCGCGACTCGAAGTGCTCGAGACTGAAGCTGCTGATACAGAGAGGCTCGTGTACGAGACCACGCGCATGCAGCAGGAAATACAGCAGCTCAGAGCAGAAAACCAAGCGATTGCCAAAGCGAAGAGACAGTCACATGATGGCTCACAACAACAACTTCGATTTCCCGCTATAGCAGAGGATTCGGATATTGCGACACCCATGGGTCCCCGTGTAGGACTTTCTCGATCAAACTCGTTGGCTCGAAGCGCTGGTTTCAATGCAAAGAGGGGTTCACTATCGCGGTCCAACTCAGTCAAAGATCGATCGGGCGAAATGTCACCACGGGAAGGATCGGCGCTCAGCAACCCCGTCAAGGACTTGGAAGAGCAACGGGACGCGTTGCACAAAGCACTCAAGCATCTCCTTCAGCGACAGGAGATGCAACAAAAAGAGTTTAATCGCCGAATCAAGGAATTGGAGGCTGAGAGGGATTCTGCCCTCAACCTCACCCCTCGTCGAACTGCATTCCATAAGGAGGTCGGACAGTTGCGACAAGAAGTCAACTCACTTCGCCGGCGCGCAGACGATGCGATTGAGCAGAAGTGGCAATGCGAAAAGGGACTCAGCGGACTGCGCATGGATCTCGACCGTGCCCAGCAGGAAACCGGCTCACTCCGCGATCTGCTTAGAGAGCACGACATCACGATTCCTGAGATCCAGCTCAACAGTGAACCACTCTCCTTGGACAAGGCATACCAAGAGCTTCGAACAACTCATGCTTTGTCCATTGCCCGCATTAAGCAGCTCGAAGACAGCGATGGTGAGTCGCTAGGAGCTGCTGGTGCTGAGGCTGCGCGCACTTTGGACCTCCTGAAGCAAAGCATTTCTGATGCGGAAGCTGAGCGGAACTTCGCCCAGCAAGAAGCCGAACAGTACCGTAAACAAGCGCGTGCTCTCCAGAAATCTGAGATTGAGCATCTGGGCAAGGAGCAGAAGCTTAGTAGTGAGCTCTTTGCTGCAGCAACGCGCATGGACGAGCTCTCGGATCGGATACAGCAGCAGCTCGAGGCTAACAGCTCTCTGCGCGCCCGCCTGACTGAAGCCATCACTCGCGGAGAGCAGGAACAACGAAAGTCGACTGAGCAAATCATTGAGCTTGAGCGCCGTCTCAAGACAGCCGAAGACAAGGTCATGATCGCGCAGCAATCATCCGAGGATGCCATCACACAGCACGAGGTTGAGGTACAGGCTCTTAAGGAGAGCCACAGCAGCCACTTGCGCCGAGTCAAGTCCGGCCTGCTGAGTCCGGCCGCATTCTCTCCTAGGCTGCCTTCGTCGCCTGTCTTTGCTCTTCGTTCTCCTCGCCTTGAGGTGACGACGTCCGGCCCTGCTATGACTATGTCGGAAGCAACCAAGACCGAACTACTGGAGAAGCGTGTCGAAGAGCTCGAGAAGGCTCTCAGGGACGCGGACCGCGAGATGGAAGAAGTGGTTGGCCGCATGAACACTGCTCAAATCGAGGTGGCCGACCTACAATTCGAGAAGTAAGTTGACATGGTTGTAGAGCAAACGAAATAACTGCTAACTAAGCGCCAGGGATGAGGCCATGAGGCAAACCAGGAGACTACAAGCCGACATTCTCGCTGAAAGAGAAAAGGTCAAGGCTTTGATGGCTTCCGCTTAATGAGTACCTGACTCTTACATAACGACGTACGCTGGACACGACGCCTATCACAGTAATTTTTATTCACCAACTTGACGCCTTGATCAAGACACTTTGGGATTCTTGATAATACCATCGGCGTACTTTTGAACACAGCATTTACTGGTGCTATGATCAGACGCACTTCGCACCACTGCATATTGCTTTCTCTAGGCGCTTGCCTATACCATCATTGTGGCGGCTACCTCATCCCCACTGTTTTATACCCTTTAGCGACCTCGGCGCTACATAATTCTTCGACCTCTGGTCAGCGGTCGGGCAAGCCGTGTTGCAGACTCTTTGGGCTTCGTGCCCGGTTTGGATAGTTGTAGTTGTACTCGGACGGTCAGCGTCATCATATTGTACTATAATGGTGTAATGGATCAATGTGCAATGCTAGTCAATTCTTGTGCGACGGTGCCTTGCTGTATTCGAAGCGACATGCCGTGCGTTTACTGAGTGCTCACTCTCCAGCGAATAGGTCATACTGCAAGATGGCACAAAGTTGGCTGTGTGGGACCAGCCCACGCGAGGAAGGAGCGTGGCTGCAGCGTTGTAGCCATTCATTGTACAAAGCCGTTGCGGAGAAGAGACACGAAGCACACGTGGGCGCAGGAGCAGCCTACACAATGGGCTCGTTCCCGAATACGAGCGTGTACTAGAGAGGATTTGCGGCGCTTTGTGTCCTGGAATGTCTGGATTTAGCATGCATTCCTGCCTATCGATAGCGTTGTGTAAGGTCCCAGCTCCATGGTTCCATGGTTCCAGGGTTGACATGCACTCGACTGGACTGCAGCGCGGCAAACGAGTCTACGGCAAGGCGTGCAGTGTGCTGAGTACCGCATCTTGTAGAGCCAGGGACGTTGTTTGCATTTGAGACGATAGCAATTCGAGCGGCATGTGGCCCAGGCGATCAATTCCCATGGTCCACAGGCTGTGTCACCCTCGCATGGAGACTGTAGAGGCCATTGGGCATGCATGGCGGGCAGCTACGCGGCAATCATGTGCCCAGGGCTGGTGTGTAGAAGCAAGGCAAGGTGAGAGTGACATGAGGCGCTACCGCCCCTCCTCTGAACAGGACCCACTTGACCCTGATCGAGCTAAAGTCGGCTACTTTGGCACTGCAGTCGAGTGGTGCTACCAGATTGCCATCCCTCTTCTGCCCGTTGTCGCTCTGCTCCGTCTGCCGCACGCATTGTCTGCTCCCGGTGGTGCTTGACCGTGTTGCTCCTTCCTTGAAGAGTTTCGGGAGAGTGTTTCTCCGACTTCTAACGCCCAACAAGCTCGCACCTCCGCACCCCTTCCCCCCTTCGACCCACCCTCTACACGCCTCACCCGACCGACTGAGGCGAGCATCCTCGTCCACGCCTCCACGATGAACAGCAACCAGCAGTCCAACCGGCTGCAGCTGAACTTTGGCGGTGGCGACCGCAACCAGTACCAAGACGCTGGCCGCGCATTTCCCACCACGCCCTCGACTTTCCCACAGCCAATCGGCCAGCAGGAGGTCTGGGGAGCACAACAACAGCAGCAGCAGGGCAATGGATATAGCGGTGGCGGTGGTGGCGGCAGCAGCGGCGGCTACTTCCAGAACCCGTACCAACAGGCGCAGTACCAGGGTCAGCAGGGAAACCTCCAGACACAGCACTTGCAGCAACGCTTCGATGCCAACGGCCTGGCCCAACAACTCTCATCGCAGCACTTGGGAGGCAGCGGCCGCTCTGGCAGCCCGTACGGTCGCCAGCCGTCGCCAAACCCCCAGCGCCCACGCACCGCAGATAACCGGGGCTACAGCTACGGCAGCTACGGTGCCTCGCAAGGCCCACGCCAGCCCTCGCTCTACGATGAAGAGGCTCCCAAGCGCCAGCCTGAGAAGTACTCGGACAACGTCGAAAAGCAGGCCACCATGTCCAAGAGCCTAATCAACACATTCTTCAAGGACAGTGTCCAGCGGGCACGCGACCGGAACCAGAGGTAGGGTTTGCCATTGCCGCTCGCCATCGACATTGCTAACCCCCACATAGAGCTTTGGAACTCGAGTCCATCATGAAGGAGCCCTCCATCTCGGACAATCGCAAGATCCAGAAGGAGAACAGCATGCGCAAGGCAGAGGTCGAATACCTGCGGTTCCTGCGGACTAAGGAGAAGCCCGAGAACTTCTCAACTCTGAAGATCATCGGCAAGGGTGCTTTCGGAGAGGTCAAGCTTGTTCAGAGGAAGAATGATGGCAAGATCTATGCTCTCAAATCGCTCGTCAAGCAAGAGATGGTAAGACTCCCCGCGACTTTGCCCACAACAACACTGACGCCCTGCAGTTTAAAAAGGACCAGCTCGCCCACGTACGGTCAGAACGTGATATTCTTGCCGAGTCAGACAGCCCCTGGGTCGTCAAGCTGCACACCACCTTCCAGGACAACACCTTTCTCTACATGCTAATGGAGTTCTTGCCTGGTGGTGATCTGATGACTATGCTTATCAAGTACGAGATCTTCACAGAGGACATTACTCGCTTCTACATGGCCGAGATCACGCTAGCCATTGAGGCCGTCCACAAACTCGGCTTCATTCACCGGTAAGTCCCATTGACATACCTTGCTTCGTCATGTCAGACTAACACTGCCAAGTGACATCAAGCCCGATAACATTCTGCTCGACCGAGGAGGCCACATCAAGCTCACGGATTTCGGCCTCTCCACTGGTTTCCACAAGGAGCACGACGCAGGCTACTACAAGAAGCTCCTTGCAGGTGGCGCGCACAAGTCTGCACGCGACAACCGAAATTCCATGAACCTAGACCAGATTCAACTGACAGTCAGCAACCGTACCCAAATCAACACATGGAGGAAGTCCCGACGGCAGCTAGCGTACTCGACCGTGGGTACTCCCGACTACATAGCGCCGGAGATCTTCAGTGGACAGGGATACGACTACTCTTGCGATTGGTGGTCAGTCGGCACCATCATGTTCGAGTGCCTCATCGGCTGGCCCCCGTTCTGCGCCGAAGAGCCCCACGACACATACCGCAAGATTGTCGACTGGCCGCGTAACTTGCATTTCCCTCCCGACCAGCAGCTTGGTGCCGAGGCCGAGGACTTTGTTAGGCGGTGAGTTTTTCCAATGTGTTGTCTCACCATGACTCGTGTGCTAACAAATCTTCTAGCTTGATTTGCGATGCCGAACACCGTCTCGGCCGCATTGGAGGCGCTAGCGAGATCAAGCAACATCCTTTCTTCCGTGGCGTTGACTGGAATGGGCTGCGTAGGATCCGCGCACCGTTCGAGCCCAAGCTGAACTCGAACGTCGATACGGCTTACTTCCCTATTGACGAGATTGACCAGCAGGACACTAGCGCTGCATACAGGGCTCAAGCTGCTCAGGCCGGCGATGATGAATACGCGACAAGCTTGCCTTTCATCGGTTACACGTACAAGCGTTTCGACGCGTACCGTGGCCCTTAGATGCTCTTAATTACGGCTAGTCAATGCTTCACGAACGTATCAAGATTTTGCGGCGGATGTTTAGGACTACATCTACATCTCATGAAAGAGTTTGACTATTCTACGATCACAATTCAAACACGAGCATCGTACGGGCGTTTTGTTCCTGCCTCATGTTGGCTTTCCACTCCTTGAAAGCCTGTTCTTTTCTATTTGCAGATCCTACGTGACGCAAAGTTTGGGGCTTGGCAAGACGTGGTTGGGATGTTGTGGGTTCACGGGTTTTTCACACTGGGCAAATGGCCCTGCAGAGTTGTACCATTCGAGGCTAGAAATCTTGAAGAGAAATGCACATTGCGTGTAAGAATTTCCCGTTAGGAAGTTTTGTCTTTGATGTCGTGAAGTGTGTGTATGTCGACTTGAAATGACTATCCTCTCCGCTGTGATGTGTTCCAGCCTGGCTTGATGTTTGCTTGAACTGGTCTGTCGCAATACGCCCTCGCCCTCTCTTCTCTTTTCTTTTAGCCAACTCATTTACATCCGCGACAGTTTCCCATCGTCCTGTACAGAAAACGTCTGTCACATCCTCATCCTTGGCCCCATCGCCATCGTACCCCTCATCATCGTCTCCCCACGCTCGATCTAAAGTCCAAGTATCTTTTCGCCATCATCGCTCAGCGCGCCTCAAACTGCACCATCCTACCCACACACCGTTAGCCCTCATCTCCAAACTCTCTCTCCTCATCTTCCTCTCCCCAAGAGATATCTCACTCACCGATTCGTCCTCTGCTTGTACAACACGCGATGTCCACAGTTCCGGCACCGGATGGGCTCGCCGCGCTTCAGCGGCACGTCCTGGTCGCAGTCGCCGCACTTGTAGTGGACGGTGCGCGCCGAGGCGTCGATGGCGGTCGGGTCGGCGGCGGTTTGGGTGGTGTAGGCTTGAGTGGACATTTTGGGCGGGTTTGGTTGGGTGGTTTGGTTTGGAGGGGGGGAAGATACGCTGGTTGGTGGTGGGAAATGATGGTTGCGCGTGTGAGTGAGGATAGGCCGCGGTGGTGGATACGGGTGGGAAGAAAAGTTGGGGCACGTGCGTACATGTGTGGTAGGGCTGGGTGGGACTTATCGATAAGGGCGGGACTTCACCCTCACATATTGGGCAACGTGCTTGGTTGTAGATGTCTATATTATCCTTGTGTGCTCTGAATACTTCGCATATGCTTCCTTTGACTAATCCACGCTTTTCTTTATACTCCGGCGGAGTTCATAGGTAATGAGACTTCACGCCGTGCTACATAACGAACGGCTATATAGGCTGCTTAGGGCTGCATATCAATGGTCCAGTTCTAGCCGTTTGAATTATGATGATCGCGGACGCGATGGCTCTCTTACGGCAACGCATTGCTCAGATGCACGAATTGGAAAGCCAGAGCGAATGGAGAGTAACCGCCATGACGTGGACATGGACTAATACGCAAACAACTTGCCATTCAACATGTTCAGAAGCTTTCCTATTCAAGGGAGCTCAATGCAGTTTTGCAGTCCTCATATGTTGCAACCCAAATGGCCGCTCAGACAAGCGCAACAGACAAGCGCATACGAAACCTTCGTCGTTGAAAAACATCACAAAAACTCCATCGTCGGTACTAGTGACTCGCCAGGCCTTCATTTTGCCCTCGCACTCTGACCAGTTCATAGATGAAGCTAAGGCTCGCTCCATCCCAATTTCATGAGTGGATCGCTCGCGTTGTCGTTTACACATGTCCTGATAGCCTAGCTGATCGCGTGTTTATGGACCAGAGCGGCGCGGTTTGGGATAGCACGCTCGCGCGTCTTGGTCTGTTGGCCAAGTTGCATGGGAAGCTTCGGTCGAGTATGGATGAGGCCTAGTTTCGTGGTGGAGGTTGCGGGTGCAGAGATCAGTTCGGCGTTGGAGGTGTCAGGGTTCACGGTTACGAGGCGTTTGCTAGAGATTTGGGCGGTCAGGATAGTGTTTCTACGCATTTTCAAACTCTCCGACCTAGTACTATCATATGTGTGGGTGCGGCTGGATGTGAAGAGTGGTCATACAAACGGATGCTCACTGGGCTTCGTCGGCCATAAAAGACGCACGCTTCGCGCAGTCTCTCCTTCTTATCATACTTCGACCGTTATAAACCGATGGGAAGCTTCCTAGCCATGTGGACTGGTATGTGTACGACATCGCGTAGCGCTGCTATTCACTGCGAGCCTCAATAAAGCTAATGCTTATTCAGAACAGAAGTGAAGGAGCGACACTCCTCAGTAGGGCGCCTGGCTATTGAGCTTCTGGTTGAAGTAGTGTCACAATAAGCCCAGGCAGCTCACCGAGAGTCTCTGAGTTATATAAGACTTCAGTTGCCTCGCCCTTCCGCTTCTTCGACAACCTCTCCAACTCAACCACAAACTTCCACATCACAATCAACAAACTCTCTTCCAATTCAACCTCACCATCAAGAATGTCTCGAATCGGTCCCTTCGAAGGCAATGTCATGGAGGCCAACTTCAAGAGCACCATCATCGGTGAGTTCCCAAACTTCCATCACAATTTCATATACTAACTCTGCATTTAGACCAAGCCAAGCTCCTCTACGGCAGGACCTACCCCCAGGGTCACACTTGGAGCGTCATCCCGGAAGAGTACATCGAGAGGGTCGAGAACTCTGGCAAGGTCATCTGGGGCTGCACCGTCTACATCATCGTCTACCCGACGCCAGGCAGCCTTCGAGACCGCGTCATCGTCTGCAAAAAGGTCACCGAGGATGGCCCGCTCAACACCCTCAAGGCCCTCCAGCTGGAGCTCCAGGAGAAGATAGGTGAGAATGAATGGCAGTAGGGTGGAGCTTGTGCGCCTTCGGCAATTCCGAGAAGGTCACTGGGGCTGTGAAGGGGCGCTGGGCTATTCAGGCTGGTATATAGCTTTTGCGAATGGCACTTGAAAGTGCTCCCAGGATGAGCAGAGATGTGTTCGGCATGGGGTGCTGGAGAATACACCGATTTGACATTCCAACTTTTGCCACACTTGCATGTCTTGACTACTGTCCTGCCTTACGCCAACTTGCCCGGCACAAACGGCATGCCCCCCGACAACCCCCCATCCACCGCCCACGCCTGCGCATTCACATAACTTGCCTCATCACTCGCCAAAAACAACACGGCCCTCGCAATCTCATCCGGCTGCCCGCCTCTCCGCAACGGATTTAACTGTCCGATTTTCCCCTCACTCCCCCTCTTCCGCGCCGCATCGTACGTGACCTTGGTCATGCCCGTCTCAATCAACCCCGGACAAACCGCATTACACCGAATCCCCGTGCCCACCAGCTGATACGCACACGTCTGCATCAGACTAACCACCGCGGCCTTGGACGCCGAGTAATCCGTCGGCCCGGCGTTGGACTTCAGCCCAGCCACCGAGGCGGTCGCGATAATCGATCCCGACGGGTACGGCTTCGCAGCGGATGTCTTCAACATGGCGCGACTCGCGTACTTGGCGGCGAGAAATACGGACAATGCGTTGGTTTTCATCACGTGCATGAAGCCCGCGCTGTCTTCTTCCCAGAACACTTTGCCACTGGAGATGCCGGCGTTGGCGAAGAAGACGTCGAGACGCCCGTAGGTGTCGAGGGCTTCTTGCACGACGGCTTGCACGGCGGGTTCGTCGGCGGCGTCGAAGGTGCGCGTATGGATGTCGACGGTGGGGTAGAGCGTGTTGAGCTCGCGCTTGTGCTGCGCGAGGTTGGTGGAGGAGAAGTCGCAGATGTAGACTGCGCGGGCGCCGTTGCGCGCGAATTGGTGGGCGGAGGCGCGGCCGATGCCTATGATGGAGTTTGCGCCTGGTGGAGTGTTATTGGAGTGTGGAGGGCTGTGGTTGGGGTGTAGGTACCGGTTACGATGATGACTTTGTCTTTGACTCTCCTACGGGATACCGTTAGAATGGGAACTACGAATACTATTCGGTAGTCACGCATACTCACTGATCGCCCAAATCTCCAGCTATACTCCTTACGCCTGGCATACCCTCGAATGTGCCTGGGTCTGGGAGCGGCTCTGAGAGCTCTTTGCTCAGGCCCGACTGCTTTACTTTTGGCATGGCTGTAGGCATTTTGATGTATTTCCCTGATCCTGGATCCAGAGGAAAATATAAGAGTTATGGGAATGTCGAAATTGAAAGAGCCAGAGTTAAGATCGGACGGCAGTGGTTTGCGGAGCTGAAGCGGACGTCACTAAATCTGGGGAAGATACCTCGGCAAGAAATACCCCTGCCAAAACGTGCAAGGATCCACTTCGCGTGGCCTTGTCCTCAACATCAACTCGCGTCTGCAAGACCAATATTGTCGCATTGTTGAATAAGCTGTATCATCCCTGGATGACGTGGATCGTATCAGGCAGATTTCAGTACGGTATCTGAACGAGTAAGGATGTGTTGATTTCAAGCTGTCGTGCTTGAACCCATTACATTTCCGTTCCTGTTGCTACTCTTCACAGCCCGACTTTTCATCTCTTTTCGTTGTCCTGTTCATTATCATCACGCAGGAATTCCAATCCTTCAAGCTCTTCGCCCTGCACTGCCCTCTGGGTATATTGCAATGACTTCTTTCTTTCACGCATCGCATCGTCACCACTCTTCGCGTATACTCGCTTGTAGCCCGCAAGCCTTTGCGCATCCGATACGTAATCAGCAACTCTGTTTCCTCGAATTTTCAATCTCGAGACGCGTTTATTCTGGTACCGTTGAGCCTTTTCTTGGTTGACATAGTCCATTTTCCTGGCTCCAGGGACTATCGTGTCTTCAATCGAGCGTTGACCGAAGTCGATCTTCTTGTAGCGCACGTGCCAGTCACATATCCCTTCTGCTGGGCCCAAGCCATCCATACGGATATTGAGTGTCGGAAAGCCCACGAGCGTCTCATCGCCTGTAGCATCCCTACGGAACACTGCGGGGAGAGTAAACCGGACATCAGAAGGTTTGATGAGTGCAAATGCAGCAGCGATGAAACGCTCTGGGATAGGACCACGGCGGCTTCGCACGGCACCTTTGTACCCTTGCAGTGAAGCGAGGTGGCGCATGTCTGTATGTTCAAACGTACGGATGATCAGTGTATCGTAGGTGTAGTTGTGAAGTTTGATCCAGAAGCGGCCGTCAAACAGCTGATACTCTTCTTTGGGTCGTGAGAAGTCCGCATTAGGTGATGTTTTCGATGGTGGAATCTCGAGTTGTAGTCTCCTCGCCTCGCTAGGTTGCAGTGCCTGGCGAGTGAGTAGCCACTCGTTCGGATGCGGCGGTGTCGAGTTATAGTCCTCACTTGGTAGCCCGTGGTCCTCAAAAGGAGACGCCTTATCGCATTTACGCCACCAGATATGGTGCACTGTGAAGTTGTCTCTGAAGTGGCTCTCTCCAGCAGCTATAAGCTCCGTCTTCTCTTCGGGTGTCAAAAATTCTGGGTAGATACTATCCACCCGGGCGGCCAGGTTGCCCAGCGCAGGCTTCAAATTGGCAGTCACAAGGTCCGCAACCTTTTCAATCAAGCAGTATGCATTATTCCAGGCCTCGTTTTTATCAGCATCGGTTGTTATTGGCCGTCCAAGTAGAGCATCGAAGGGTGGAAAGCGAATGAGCAATGTGCCCATCTGAATGTCGAGCTTCATCAGACACTGGTCGTACAGTTTGCGGGCGTATGCTTGATGTTTATTGACGCGTTCCTGCATTCGAAGTGACAAAGCTACAAGCGAAGGAATGCTCAGGGCTTTCGGTAGCTCATGAGCCTTGTAGATATGTCTGATGGCGTTGCGCGACGTCAGTGTCCTTAAATGATTAGATTTATCCTCCGCCCACTCTGTGCCGTGCTCTTGACAGGTTGCAATGAGTCTGGACTTCTCCATGGCAAGTAGGGGTCGCAAGATCTGGATGCCACCTTGCTCAATCGGAAACGGTATTTTGTTTGTGACTTTCGGTTCCTGATAGTCGCCGCTGTGGTGCACACCATAGATGCCTTCGCATTCGGGTATCCACTCAACGCTCTGCATGCCTTTGAGGCCAGTCCGTAATCTGTTGTTTGCTAGCCTCATGAGAACCGTCTCGGCCTGATCATCGCCATGATGTGCTACCATCAAGGCTCTGATATCTTCTCTTCTGCATGCTTGGCCTAATGCTTGGTACCGACGTGTGCGCGCTTCCGTCTCGAAACGTTTAAAGTCAGACATGTCGAAGTTCTCCGGCCAAGTAAGTGTAAGAATCGAGGATTTCATTCCAACTATGGATAGTCAGTCATGCATTTAGATGAGTACACAGTGCAGCTCACATTTGGAGCGCAATTGCTCCGCAACCCACGCAGCTTCTTCCGTACTCTCTGGGCGCACTTTGTGGTCGACAATGAAGCCGTGGCCTTGCGGAAGCGATGCATCGGCCTTCTGAGCTCTAGCATAAAGAGAAGCAAGTGCCATGGAGTCAACACCACCGCTTATAGCAAAGCCTACACATGACAGTCAGTCCCAATTCTAATCTAGGTGTGGTTCCACGTACCCAGCGATGAGGCTTTCTGGCTATCGCCCCTCCGCATTGCCCATCTTCTCGGTAATACTGCTTCTAAAGCATCTTCAAACTCCTTCTCGGTGATTGGTAAACTCGATGTAGAGCTGTACCATCTCGACTTCACTCCATGGCGCAATCGGCCAGCTGAGGAGCATTGCCTCAAACTGAGGACATTGCTTCTCCACATATACAGCGCCGTAGCATTGAATGCACCTGCGAAGTACCAATGCAAGAACAAATGAGAGTGGAAGAAAGTCTGAAAACGGGTAATACACGACAAATGCTCGGGTCGGAAGCGCAGACGCGTCGTGGTTCCGAGGTGAGCTTGAGATGGCCGCACCGGACCCTTGTTCTGGAAATTTCTCTGGAAGGTTTTGAGGGACTGAACATCTTCGACCACAGCTCCACCACATCTCAATTGTCACTCTGCACGCCTAGGAACTCACATAAACCCGTTACATCTCCCTCCGATCCCCAACCACCCCTCACATCACGATGGTAAGCTTGGTTCTCCAACTTCCCCGCTCTCTATTCAACTGAACACCCCCGACATCTCCGCAACCTCCGCATGCACTCGAGCTCTATGCTGACAGCACTCCAGTCTACCATCAAGTCAATCAAGTCCCTCGCTCCCCTCCTCGACCGCATCCTCGTCCAGCGCCTCAAGCCCGAGGCCAAGACTGCAACCGGCATTTTCCTCCCCGACTCCGCTGTCAAGGAGCTGAACGAGGCCAAGGTACTGGCCGTTGGCCCCGGAGCATTCGACAAGGAGGGCAAGAGGGTAGCACCCAGCGTACAGCCCGGCGACAAGGTCTTGATTCCTCAGGTAACATTTCCATCCCCAACATGGCAGCAGCAAGGATGCTAATAAAGCATAGTTCGGCGGCAGCCCCATCAAGATCGGCGAGGACGAATACTCGCTGTTCCGCGACCACGAGCTCCTCGCCAAGATCAACGAGTAAACGATAGCACTTTTTATACCAGAAAACAAGCAATAAACGTAATCTCCCTCACGGTCCAATCCGCAATGCATGTACGATATTGTACTACTACTACACAAAATATGACGATACGCTAGCATCTGAGCCGGCGTTTGGCTGCACGCTTTGTTTCTTCGGATTTGTTATTTGGCAAGCGAGCGGTGTCTTGTTTGACGCACGCTGGAATGAAGAGGGGAGGAAGAATTTAGAAAGAAGAATATAAGAAATCTCTACTCTACGGCGTTTGTCTCCATTCGAAATTCCGCAAAGTTCTGCCTGGTATCGTGGGGATTGCCTGGGTGGAACAGCAATGTAGCCATCTGACCCCCAAGGTCTCTCAAACATGTGCACTCCATATTATGCTTGGCAAATACATCACAGTCGGAAACATATCATTGAACCATTACGCATAACCTCTCCACTTCCAAGGATCTAGGAGATCGCCCCCGTCTGGAACTTACCCTCATCATTTCGCGCCCAAGCACTCTTCCCCGACCGATCACCACGCAGAGTTCGGCCCACCAGATCCCCACTGCCGTCCATCACTCCCAGACGCCGCATGCTGGTCATACGTATACCCACCACTCGGCGGCTGCTGATGCGGCGGAGGCTGCTGATACCCAGCCGGGCCCGCCCCATAATTCTCATAGCCTTGCTGATACGCCGTAGGAACAGTGTAACTGGGCTCCGCGCCCTGGCCGCCAGAGTACTGACCCTGTCCCTGTCCCCATCCATATCCACCCGCAGGCGTGGCTTGGCTGTATTCCGCAGGGGGCTGGTAGCCTTCACCGGCGTAGGAGGACTGGTAGGGATGGAATGAGTCCCATTGGGATGGCTGGGGAGATGGGGCGGGCTGGTAAGGTGCGGCGGATGGAGCGGGGGGCGTCGAAGTCGCCTGCGTCGCGGGTGCGACCGCTACCTCCGAGATTGAGGCTGTTGAAGGCGCTGCCGAGAACCGCCTGGGAGGTTGCTGGTGAGGGATCCGAGGAGACCACCACCGCCGGAAGACGAGGAATGTTGGTGGCTGCTGCCTCCGTGACTGCTGCTGCTGTGTCCGCCTGATGAACCGCCAAAGCCCTGGATGCCTGCTGCTCCATGGGGCTGCGCCGTGTGAGTGATCGTTTGAGCCGCTGTGGTTCTTGGCCTGCGCGGACAGACTCTGAGCTGAGGACGTAGTTTAGGTCCTTACCACGGTAGTTGTGAGCCCACTTCTTGACGACTTCGAACATGTTGCGGTGGATCTCGCAGCGATCGTCGCGCATGCCAGGGTGGTGGAAGACGCGCATGCAGTCGTCCAGGACCTGGTCGACTGGTACGTCGGGATGGTCCCAGGCGTAGATGACACGAGGAGCGACATATTGCAAGATGGCTACGGCGACTTGACCGGCGGGCTGGTTGAGAACGTTGGAGAAATGGTCCTTGGAAAGCATACTGTGCGTTGGGTCAGAAGAGGTGGGAATGGTCCAGACCTCGTACTGATGTTTCGCTGCTGAGTCGATGACGGCGGACGACCCGCTCTTGAGCTGACTCGAAGCTGTCTTGATGATGGGCAGGATGAAGGGTGCCAGTAGCGATAGCACAAAGAGCGTGACACGCTCGGTGATGGTCTCAATAAGCTTCTCCAGTCCAGGGATCTTGGAGACAATTGCGGAAATACTTCGCACGACATTGTCACGGAACACCAAGATGGGGTAGATCTTGGGGATGATAGTCGCAGGGTCGGTGTCCGTGCCTGGGATGTTAGGTCCTGGAGGACCTCCAACAGAGCCAGGAGGTGCATCAAAACCACTTTGCTGGTACCCGCCTTGTCCTCCTGCACGTGTGCTATAATCGTCATATCCTCCGGAACGAGCATTTGATGCGGCTTGAGCATCTGAAGATGCCTGTAGGTCCTGAGCTTGTCGAATAAGGTCGCCAGTGCCAGGGACCTTGCTCAAAACGTCAACCAATCCACTGCAAGCAGGAGCTTCACCTCCTGGGCCTCTCTTTCCGGTGGTGTTGCTTGACACAGCATCCACAAGCGCGGTGTTCACTTCATCAATCTCAGACTGGGTGATGTGGTCATTGGCTTCTCCTAGGACCGAATGAAAGAAGTCCACTCCGCCGAATGTCCCCGTCACAAGCGGGTACACACGTTTGCCATTCAGAGTGATGCCGGCTTCGACACCCACGTGAGGAAAGACATCATGGTAGCCAAGCTCGCGAAGGACAAGCTCAGTGTAGTTGGTGTGGGCACCAAAGTCTTCCAGACAATGCAGTCCTTGACCCAGGCAGCGGAGAGCTTCTGCTAGATCCTCTTCTCGTCCACGTTGACCGGATGCACCATGTGTGTACAGCCTGCCAAAGTGGATTGCGCGTGCGAACGAAAACTTGACGTATCCAGCAGAAGTGGCCCATCCACCTCGCTCGTTCGCAATGTAGTTTTTCATTCCAGTGTGCGGATCAATAGCCAGCTCAGCTTCACTCACGGGACCGCGTAGTCGCGGATCGTACTTCCTGGCATCCTGGTTGTCGGCATAGTCCTTGGGGTTGTCGATGTGCTCTTCAGGTCGATATACACCGAGGCGCTCGGCGGTGACCTCGAATTCGCCAGTAGCATAGCCAAACGACATGAATGATAGGACCCATACAAGGACACGGATAGTTTCGCCCTGCACTTTCGCCAGAGTCCCTACATCAACAGCCTGTTCGGGTCAGCTTGCTATGAACTTTGGAGTGGATTGGTAGACGGACTTGTGAGTAGTCGCGAAGCCAGTTACCAAAGTATACGCGCTGTTGCCATGTTAGCTTAAATCGTACTCGAACCGACCTAGGTGCATCTAACCTTGATCATGTTCGACTTCCATTTATGTCCCTTCAAACAAGCCACTGTGGCAAGCATATCCTCAATATCTCCATGGCGCCAGTTCTGCCCTTCGATCTTGGAAATGGACGCGATATTCCCCGCGCCAAAAGCCTCAGCTTGGGTAGGTAGCAGTACCAGGATCGCGATAGCGACCAGCAGCAAATACTGCGACGAAGAGACTCCCATGTTGTTTTGTATTGCGCAAGTCCTAACTTTTGCAGTGGGGTGATAGATAAAGAAAGCAAGAGTAGAGCTCTAGAGTTAGAATCATATCCGCGCCGTCTAGTCAGCTGTACCACCCACGGGTAAGCGGCGGTGCAAAAAAAGCGCCACACGTCATCGGAGGGGTCCACCAAGCTTCGCGGAGCCCCTCCAACTTGCGTGGCTGCAACTTGCAACCAATGTTTTACGTTCTTCACGACTGGGAACGTTGCGTAGATCCGGTTACCTCCCGAGTGAGCCTCTTTTCGCGGCTTTGATGACTTGAATTGCGCCACACTGCCCCACTTTCAAGCGCTGATGATGTGCATGGAGGGGTGTCGGGGTACCGTCGCAGCTGAAACTTTGCATACCTGTTACTTGGTATGGTATGCCGACGCTCGCAGACGTCGCTTGGCCGATGGAATGAGCTTGCACATGCTGGTCAAAGGCTCGCGATGACTTCCTGCTGCCTGATTTCCGGAGCGCTGACCTGAGCATCGCTTTAGTTAGACCTCATCATCTAACACCGCTTGGACAGCTTTGTGAAGATGAGACTGTCCATGTTGTCGCCGTAAATAAAGTCATTAGAGGCGGCTGCCTCATACAATGTTGATCACCCATGGCATTGCGCAGCCTGGATTCTCACAGTAATTTCTTCGCCGCTGGTGCTGGTCAGGAAACCGAAGCGTCACAACCGTCATAATTGATGAGACAATTGCAATTTTTTTATACTTTCGCACAGGGAACACCTACTCGAAGACCTCAAGGTCCAGACAGGCTTGCACTTGTATCATCAACCTCCAGATCCCGAGAAATAGAGGCCGAAGAAGTTGATCCAGTTGCCTCTCACACCCAGCCAACTTCAAGCACGAACGAGAGATATTTCCGAAACAAAAGAACAGTACAGGGACTCAAGCTACATCAGTTCAACGATAGAGGATAACAGCGACAGCGACACATCTCAGGCTGTCTTCTTATCTTGAGCAAGTCAACGTGGAGAGTATAACACTTTCGCCGCTGCATGCGATGATCTTGAAGGCTTAAGATGATGGTGCGAGTATTGAGATTTGGACATCGGATGATGGGTTAAAGTGTGTTTCAGAGAATTGAATGTGCAGAAGCCTGGCAATAAGAAGCGGGATTGAACAAGTTACGAGAGGAGAAAATATGACTGAGATGAGATGATAAGAAGACGAAGAAATAAAGGAGACATTCAGAGGATTGCAGATGGTCCAGGAGGCTCCAGGCTTTTCGAGCGACAGCAAGCTCGGTATCCAGGTGAAAGTCGCATTTACCGCGTACTTTCAGTCTACTCAACAACGGAATACGTGTCTCCCAAAACCCCACTACAAGCCTTTTAGTCTATACCTAACCCCCAACAAATTGCTTGATCCCAGTTCAGACATTGACCATGCATAGTTGCGGTGAAGTGCTTCGCGATGTGATAATTGCGGTGTGCTTGCTGTACGCTGTGGGTCGCGACGCTGGCTAGACCACGCTCGCTTGTGGGGACTGATCCAGGTACGTGGCATAGTGGGCGACAGCAAACAAGGGAAATGCGTTGAATGGAGAAGATATCAGGTAAAATATATTTCATCGTCTGAATTGGTGGTCAAGGAGATATGATCTGATGTGTCATGAGGTGCTCGGGAGCTTTCTCAGCTCGCAATTCCTCTTCCTCTTGCACAAGCCGCACCAGCATTATCGCTTTTCATGTCCGATTCCCGCATCTCATGCTCGCGTTGTGATGTATAATCCTCGGGGGAAATTCTACGAGCCTCCAACCTTCTTCGCCTCCTCTTGGAGCTTCTTGATCTCCTCCTGCGCCGACTTGCCCGTCTCGCTGCGATCCGCCTTGACCTGTTATTGAAGCATTAGCATATATCCTGATTGTAACCACCCCTGTAGCAATCCAAGCTTTTGTAATTGAAGCTGTAGACGTACCGCGCTCTCACTATCCGACGCAAGGCCCTCCTCCCACGTGTTCTTGCCCTCCTTCTGCGCCTTCAAGTGCTCCTGCTTCTTCTTCTCGACCTCATCGGCGCGGCCTTCATTGTCTATTGTAAACACGTCAGCTTATGAGTTCCTGACGCATGGTGTGCAACGTACGAAGAGCCGATTCCTTGCCCACGCCGCGAGCTATTGACTGGGAAAAGGCAGCGCGCTGGATTCCGACAAAAGGCGTGCGGCGAGCCGCGATGGCACGGATGTATGACATGATGGCGTTTGAGGAAGTGTTGTTTTCGTGGTGAGAGACTTGTTGTTGTTGATGGTTTGGAGGGAAGTTTTGCGGGGGTGTGGAGGCAGGAAGATTCAACGCTGCAGATAGTCGTTTAGATGCACAACAACCTCAATTGCAAATATGATGGATGGGATGGTAAGCTGGAGTGGAGAGAAGAAAGATAGCTTAGAGGTCAAGCTCGTAGATTTTCCTCGGGCGCCAACGAAACGAAGCTTCCCTCCCTTTCCCCATGCCGACGGTGATGGCATTTAACGAGTGACGTCACCGCTCCCCAAGACGCTACTCCATGTTTAAAATCGTATTATAGCCGCCCAATGGGCTGTTTGTGGGTGGGTCGGTGGCGAACAAGGGTATTTAGCCAATGAACGTTCACCCCTCACTTTGGTGGCAAATTGTATGGGGAGATGCTCAGGGCGTTCGTGGTGAGGCTTGAGGAGTTCTCAGAAAGAAAGATTACTAAGCTAGGGTTCTAGGCTTCTCATTGGCTGGACGATCATATTGCCACGTACTCCACCATCAATTTTGCCATTGGGCGGCTATAATACGATTTTAAACATGGAGTACATGTGCATTACGAAATGGGGCCCGGACCGGCCGCGAGCGTCCATTCGAACAGAGCCCATTTCAAAGCATGGGCCATGCGTCTATTCCTCTTTGTGCGCGGCCGTGTGTTGGTGTTCCTAGATATGCATGTCTCTGGTCTAGAGATGCAAGCTTGATGCACTGCCTGCTGGCTGAGCCATGCCGTCGCGAGCGATGTGCGATGCACCCGTGGGTCATGACACAGCCTGATGCCTGTGCCTGTGCCGCAGTATGCCGCATGTCGTACCTGCATCTTGACCCGCGTGGGACGACTGGGTGAAGGGTCCCTTCGCATCTGAGGTGAGGTCGCCGCACGGCACGGTGTTGAGCGTGGTTTTCGAGCTGGTCAGCTTCATGGACCGCATTCGAGGCCATACCCCGCACCGGCTTCGTAACGTTTGTTGACAAGGCAACTATACCGGCCATTGAGTTTGTCGGTCGATTTGCAATCTCCCGTTTCAAACAGTGAAAGGTATCACGCATCAGGAATACCAGTTTAATGTAGATAAGTTGTGATTCAGTATCCTATAGATACGCACTGCCCTCTTCAAAGAGGCGTGTTGTATAAAGAGAATAGTTCCCGAAGGAGAGATAAAACCAAGAGATTGAAAAAAAGATCGCCCCAACCGCTGGGTCGTAAATCCTCATACAACGGAAAAGAAACCAACGGAACCCTGCGCCGATTGACTGCGTAGAATCATCCCAGCGTCGTACAGGTACTGATAGACAGGCCGACGCATGCACCCAAAAACCGATTGACACCACCGCTTCGAAATCGCGCCCCAATGGTATATACCGACCGCTGAAACCAAAGACCAACCGCACAAAAGAAATCTACCCTTTGTAGTGGCGCCATACCAGGCAGCCGGGTGACAATAATGTATGATAGCACCGCTACAGAACACCATTATCTGTAACCAAGAATTTTCTTAAAAGTCTTTAGAACGCTGATAATAACCGAGGATGCGAACCCAAAACACCGTTATGTGCAAGCCGCCGTGAATGCGTTAGCGCTCAAAGACAAGAGACCAATGCGTTCTATTCGAAAGAGATGTGTTTTCGCTTCAGTGCAACGCCGTCGCCGAGTCGAGTGGTATTACCAAGATGTCGAACGAGATATCGTAGATTTGTACAGGGGAGAGTCGATAGTATGGACGCATGATCCTCCAGAGGATATCCGGGAGAAGGTAATTAGATCCAGTAAAGGCATGCAAGAGCAGACTCGCGCATGAGAAGGGTAGCCACTAGCTCAACAACAGAAGACGCAACACCGACGGAACAAAACGCATGGCCTCGTGCCTGCAAGGCTTTACCAGCGTCGCGACATGAACTGCTGCTGCATCTGTCGGTTAGGCGAGACAGATGGTGGAGGGCTGGCAACAGCTCGGGTGGAGGGGTCGACTATCGGGATGGCGTTGCGGGTGCGCTGAGCTAGTGGCTGGTGGAGCTTCGTCTGAGACGAGTTGTTGTGCTGGAACCCGGCAGGGGTGTATGGGTTCGGTGCCGAGGACAAAACAAAAGACGGAGTTGGCTGCAATTGGTGCTGGAGAGGAGACTGTTCTGGCGATCCGCTCGAGAGAGACGAGCGGTCAGAGCCTGAAGAGTGGATAGATTGAAGCTATTCATCGGGTCAGCGCCTGTTGAGGCGGGTGCGATGACATGGGCCGGTGGCAAACATCGTGGGCCAAGATACTTACATCATCCTCAGTGAGCAAGTGGAAGGGGCAGAACATCTCATCGTCCTCAATGTCGAAGGACCTTGCAGCCTCAAAGTCACGCTTGAATGCGAGCATCGTGGGCGGCTCAACGTTGAACTCCTTGGGCGTGCGCACCTGCTGTCGGATCTGCCTGTGGTTCTGCTGAGCCGACATCCGGGGCGCCCTCCGCGATCGGCCGCCGTGGTGGTTGTGCGAATGAGCGTTGAGGTGCTGTTGCTGGTGCTGGCCGCCGTAGTTGAAGAATTGCGACATGGTGGTGCAAAGTGATGGGTTATGCTGGTGTTGGTTCGGACGAAATGTGGGTGAGGGGTCGGTAGATGAAGGCCGAAGCGACCACAACAAAGGCGAAACAAAGGGGTATGATTCGTTGGAGAAGGCGTAAGAGGTCGCGGGGGAGCTGCAAAGTAGGTTGCGGGTGCTGTGCGGGCGCAGTGAGTATTAACTAGAGGGAGGTATGGCGATGCAAGGCTGACGAGATGTTGGGAGACTGGAGGCAGAGCAGAGAGGATGG